GAGTATATGACAGAGACTCCTCAGGTTATATTAGCATTGATGAGTTCCAGTCCATTTCATCAAACTTTCCATTCATTGAGTCATTCTCAGTACTAGACAGAGACAAGTAAGTATTATACACTCTTGGTATTACTTACATGTATATACATGTACACTGTACATTGTAATCATGCAACCACAAGCTTAAACTGATGGAAATCAAAATAGCTCACTTTTTTAAACTCTAGTACTAATATTTAGCCAATGTATATCTAATTATTTTAGCTTCTCTTGTGTCTGTGAGTGCATATTACAGTTATACTGTTAATGATAAATGAGTTTATTTGTTTCTGTTTCTATTGTTAGAGATGGTGTTATCAGTAGAGATGAGATGATGGATTATTTTCTTAGTGCCAATACTTCACTGAGAGAGAGTTTCAAACACAATTTTGTAGAGCACACGTTCATTGGTACACAATACTGCCAGCACTGCAAAGGAGTGGTGAGTCAGTCTTTTGTCAAATTTAGAGCAACTTAAAAAATTCTTAAAAAACAATTTTGATTAGAATCAGTTATGTGTAGGTAAAAAATGGCTTGTAGATTACTTTTTTTGATGATCACATACATGTACACATGACATGTACATGTTCTTGAGAAGTTTTAAGTCATTTTTATCGAAATAATTTTAAATACTTTTACATGTTTGTAGAAGTTTACTGATATTGCCCTAATAATTTTAAATGATGAAGGATTCTTATTTTTGTGTGTCACTTTCTTTTTCCCCTCCTCTCTCTCTCTCTCTCTCCAGTTAAAAGGTATAGTCCGTCAAGGTGTTCGTTGTAAGGATTGTGGTATCAGTTGTCACAAACACTGTAAAGACTATGTTGTTGTTGATTGCAGCAAACACACCGAGAAGAAAAGTAACCAATAATAATAATAATAATAATAATAATAATAATAATAATAATAATAATAATAATAATAATAATAATAATAATAATAATAATAATAATAATAATAATAATAATAATAATAATAATAATAATAATAATAATAATAATAATAATAATAATAATAATAATAATAATAATAATAATAATAATAATAATAATAATAATAATAATGTATTGTGGAATTGATTGTTATTTGTATTGATAGAGCGTGCAAGGCGTTATACTGCAGTAGCCTCAACCAGTAATGGTGAGTATGATGTGAATGATGAACTGTCACTGAAGGAAAGACTGAGGAGAGCTGAATCAGTAAGAACACACCACTAGACACTTATAACTACATATGTACATGTACCACTCACTCTACATGTACATGTACAACTCACTGTACATATATTCATTATTGCACTGTTTGATTCTTTACTAGGCAAGAGATGCACTATCAGCAGAGAATTCTGAGCTCCTTGGTAAACTGGCAGAGGCTAATGCTAAGATACAGCAATTGAATGGATACATTGCCACTATACGTCAGCACACTATTGGATTCATATTGGAACAAATGAACACACTACAACCACAAATGGATACTCCTGTCTAACCTTCTGACTATTCACTATTAATTGTGTGTGTGTATTTTTAAAAGTTATCATTAATTGTTGTTGCTTTGATCATGATTATTATTAATAATACTTTTGCTCTAAGGAAATTTAATTTGTAAGCTTTTACATGTTTACACCATAAATATTAGAGTAAATGAAATGTTTACACCTAATCTATAATAAGCCACGCCCTTTGAGATGAGCCCCACCCTTAATACTGAAAGGTAGCCATGATTGATGTAACTCAATGGAGAGCCGCTATTGGTCACTGGAACTCCTCCAGACTTCGTTTATTGACTCCTGCAACTGGTATTGATGGTGAAAGTTTGATGGAATCAATAAATGAAACTTTTAAAGCTGCTTCTGCTATTAAACCTGCTGATATCCCTACTGTTAATATTACTGCTGACTTAGCTGCTGCTGTTACTCATATTACTACTGCTTATTCTGCTAGTAGTACTGGATCTGATTCTACTCCTAATCCTACTGCTGAGGTCTCTACTAAAGAAACCATGCTTATTTATAAAGGAATGCTGTTGTGTGATACAGTTTCATATGCTGTCTACTTACTGTTGTACTTTATGCTCCTCCTCCTTTTATCAGGAGATGTTGAACTTAATCCTGGACCTATCACTGTGGAACAAGGTAACAATATAATGATTGGCCTAAACTTTATTATGATGTTTATTTTTACAGTTCGTTCAAAAATAGATGAATCTCTTTTAAAGCATTTTGCAGATATAGAAAAAGCCACTGAGTATTGTATTGATGACATCAGTTCCAAGCTTTACTCCAAAAGTCTGATCACAGAATCAGTCAAAAAATCCCCAACATATCACAAAATAGTCAGTGAACTTAAAGCAGGAATGAGTTTACTATCAGACGTTTCACAAGTAATTGAACGTTATGAAACATTCTTGGAGTGTCTTTCATGTGATGGTGGGCCTGCTAAAGATGCAGTTGATAGTTTAACTTCTGATTGGAAAGATATCAACAAGCAATGTGATGAAAGTAACAATAAACCATAACAAATATAATTATTTATGATATACAATTTTAGGATTACAAACTTTCAGGGTTTCAAGGACAAGTGAGGAAGAGATAAAGCATGCTGTCTCGTCGTTAAATAGTTCATTTGCTAAATTATTAAAACATCTTAAAGAAGAGTTGAAAGATACTAGTGTATCATGTATCATTGAGCACTTAAATGATGCTGGGTATACTTACCTACCATTGGATGAGTTGAAGACCTCCAGCGACACTACTGAGCTCATTAATAAGCTAAACAAGTATTATGACTTTTTAGATTGTGATGTTCTTGAGACTATTGCTACAGAATTTACAACGCCAACTTTATCACAAGAATTTCTGGATCATTCAAAAGCTGCAGAAAAATTTCGTGAGTCCAAATCAGTTGAAGACCTCAAGGAATTCTTACAAGAAATTTTTAGTCCTCACATACACAACTTAGCTGATGCACCCAAAGCACACATACGCCTTCAAAATGTATGGAGAGAGTTGCAGCTTCATAAGCTACGTACTCTCATCAAATGCTTCTTTCCTACATGTGATCGCTTGGCTCTGACCAAAGCAATAAGCATCACATGTTCTTCAGTTCACATTACATACTTCATGACTGAATCACCAAAAGAAATAGAAGACCTTATTTTACTTAACAGAGAAAAGTTAGCATTCATGAAATACATTGGAGTCTATGAGTTATGCATTAATGGTGTAACTATTCTTCAGAGTACTAGTGATAAATCCTTTAACTTTGATACTGCTTTGTTAGAGGCAGCACAAGCAAAACAAGCTGAAGTAATAGAATTTATTCTCAAAATAGAATTTTGTAGTGATGCCATAATTACTAAAAGCATGGAAAATATACTGATCACATTGCATTTTCACAAAAGTCATAATGACAGCATTATAGAAATACTTATTAACAAGTATTCCAACAATTTGTACAAAAGAGGATTTATACTAGCTGCTCAAAAGGGATTTATTGAAATAGTTTTAGAATTCCTTCAAAAGGAGATCAACCCAAACACTCAAGATAATGATGGCTGGACAGCACTCATATTAGCTAGTCAAAATGGTCATCAACAAGTGGTTGAGCTACTCCTTAAAGAAAAAGCTGATCCTACCATTCAAAAGAATAATGGTGCAACAGCACTCAATTTAGCTAGTCAAAATGGTCATCAACAAGTGGTTGAGTTACTCCTTAATGAAAAGGCTGTTCCTAACATTCAAGACAATGATGGCTGGACAGCACTCATGTTAGCTAATCTAAATGGTCATCAACAAGTGGTTGAGTTACTCCTTAATGAAAAGGCTGATCCTAACATTCAACACAATGATGGCTGGACAGCACTCATGTTAGCTAGTCAAAATGGTCATCAACAAGTGGTTGAATTACTCCTTAATGAAAAGGCTGATCCTAACGTTCAAGACAATGATGGCAGAACAGCACTCCTGCTAGCTTGTGATGATGGTTATCAACAAGTGGTTGAGTTACTCCTTAATGAAAAGGCTGATCCTAACATTCAAGACAATAATGGCTGGACAGCACTCATGTTAGCTAGTAAAAAAGGTCATCAACAAGTGGTTGAGTTACTTCTTAATAAAAAGGCTGATCCTAATATTCAACACAATGATGGCTGGACAGCACTCATGTTTGCTAGTAAAAATGGTCATCAACAAGTGGTTGAGTTACTCCTTAATGAAAAGGTTGATCCTAACATTCAAGATAATGATGGCAGAACAGCACTCCTGCTAGCTTGTGATGATGGTTATCAACAAGTGGTTGAATTACTCCTTAGGGAAAAGGCTGATCCTAACATTCAAGACAATGATGGCTGGACAGCACTCATAGCAGCTAGTCAAAATGGTCATCAACAAGTTGTTGAGTTACTCCTTAATGAAAGGACTGATCCTAACATTCAACACAATGATGGCTGGACAGCACTCATGTTTGCTAGTAGAAAAGGTCATCAACAAGTGGTTGAGTTGCTCCTTAATGAAAAGGCTGATCCTAACATTCAAAAAAATAATGGCGCAACAGCACTCATGGCAGCTAGTGCAAATGGTCATCAACAAGTGATTGAGTTACTCCTTAATGAAAATGCTGATCCTACCATTCAAAACAATAATGGCTGGACAGCACTCATGATAGCTAGTGCAAATGGTCATCAACAAGTAGTTGAGTTACTCCTTAATGAAAAGACTGATGGCAGATCAGAACTTATGGCAGCTAACAAAAATGGTCATCAGCAAGTGGTTGAGTTACGTTCTGCTACTAAATGTAAGACAAGCAACGAAGAAAAAATTGAAGGACAAACCAGCCATCAGCAAAATACTTCTCAACATGATGTCACTGATAACAAGAAAAACCAGGATAAGCATACAAGATTAATCAATGATGATGAAAAGCCAGAGTTCCACAAAAAAATTAAAGATAGAGCAATAAATCTTATTAAAATGGGATCATTAATATCTGAATCAATCAGGAATCCATTCAAAGGAAAGATAATTGTGGAGAAAAGAAATATAATATATAGTGTGAATTAAATCTATTAAACTCAGTTCTTGTGGTATTTACTTTTGAAAAAAAGAAACAATGCATACAACACATTTAGTTTAATATTGTACACCACAAAATTCATCAAAAGTATTAAAATTTTAGTAGCTACGTCCAAAAAGTGTATAGTATTTTGCTTTATTATCACATCCTCTACGCACACAGCCAGCATCACTGGATAGCTCCTTTGGTTGCTTGAAAGGAATACAAAGAGCTTTAGCTCCCATAGCAGGTGCCCCTGGCTCTATAGCCTCTTCCCTATATAAGGAGCAATCACATGAGATCATGTCACATGATGATCATACACTGTACCTGGTACTCATTTTTTTAATTTGATCCTCACATGATACCTCACCACAATAAGGGGACATTATTATCTAATAAATATAATAAGAGTACTTTGAAGAGGCTCAGTTTTAGAACTATGCATAAGTAAAATACTAGGCTCATAATGGCAGTCTGTAGAGTTTCTGACTTAATGCATGACTAATACCCATGCATTTTTATAACAAGTACATGACTGAAATGAATGCTGTAGAACTTACCATTTTCTTGTCTAAACTGCTACAGAACTCATCCCAGTTATCAAGTACAGCAATGTGCTCATCCATTTCAGCCTTAGCCCTGTTAACATACATTATACTATAGCCTCTCATTCCATGACATACTTTGCATAAAGTCTCTCTTGAATCTCTTTCAATTTCTTCTGTACAGTTTCTGTGGCAGCAGATATACTGCATGGTTCCTTTACTCCAGTAGTATCACGAGGAACAATAACAATATTCTTATTAGTAACTTCACGTGGGCCAACTTCTATACGCATTGGAACACCCTAAAAAATTAAAATTAAGTCGATCAGACATTAAACCACTTTACTACATGCATTGAGTCCTTAAATTGTATTAAAAAACAGAATTTTTGTACTTATGTGTTATATACCTTCAATTCCCAGTTATTGAACTTCCAACCAGGAGAATAATTGTATCTAAAGTCTCCTTTAGCTCTAATCCCAGCCTCAGTCAATGAGCTGATCAATGATTCACAATATTTAGTTAATTCATTTCTTTTGGTATCATCAACTGTTGCTGTTATACCACAAGGAACAACAATCACCTATATATGTGCATGTGAACAAAAAATGATCACAAAATTACAATATTATCCATACTATATACCTGTATATTGGCCACATTGGGTGGCAGTATCAGTCCTCTATTGTCACCATGAACCATTACCATTATACCAATACTGCGTGTAGTAATACCCCAGGAATTCTGATATGCAAAACAATGATCATCTCCCTATAATTAAAAATATCAATCATTCACGCATAATATTAAACGGTTACATACTTCTTCTTGGTTAGGATTTTCAAACTTAATATCAAACATTTTAGAAAAGTTCTGACCCAAATGATGAGAAGTAGCAGCCTATAAAGAAGGACCAGTCATTAGTCCATTGTTATATCATCAGTTCACCTGTATTCCTCTACCACTGGCTGCTACAAATCCTTCAACAGTGGTAGTATAATCTCCACCTGCAAACTTTTCCTTCTCTGTCTTCCAGCCAGGAATAACAGGAACAGCCAATAGCTCTTCATACACTCTTTGATATAACGTTAGAATATCCAGTACCTGTGAGTGTGAGTGCATGTGATTGTCATGTGATTAAAGGCTGACCTCTTTCTCAGCTTCAGCTTTAGTAGCGTGTGCTGTGTGTCCCTCTTGCCAGAGGAACTCTCTTGTACGTAGGAATGGCTGAGGATGCTTGAACTCCCAACGCTGTAAGAAAAAACAAAATGAAAAAAATAATATACCGTACAATTTACAGTATAGCCACTTAATTTCAAGGGCATAATTTTTGCTTTTTTTTGCAGATTTTCCGTACCAACAAAAGTTAATTCTGTAAAATTATCCGTCTCAACCTATAATCACGTCACATGTAATGAACATAACATGGCTCTCTTAAGTGTGGCTTCAAAGAACATTAATCATGAAAGTTAATTTGCAAAAAACTTTTGGCCCAATTTGCGAGTATGTTGCCTCAAAATTTTGTGGCTATACGCAAATACATTTTAAAACTGAAAAAAAAAACATTAAAACTTACTACAACATTGCACCATTGGTTGAGTTTGAGTGGGAGGTCCCTGTGTGATTGAACCCACTTGGCATATGATGGATACATCACTATAAAATAATATAAGGACATCATTGACCACACCCACCCAATCTAACCTGTCTCTGATGTAGGTCTGATAGCTATCGGCTCAGCTAATTCTGATTGGCCGGATTTGGTTACCCAGGCAACCTCGGGGGCAAAATCAGCAATGTGATCCTTTTCTTTTTGTAGAGCTGATCCAGAGACAAACATTGGGAAATAACAGTTTTCAACACCAAGCTTCTTTATCTCAGCATCAAAGAAGTCTAACAATACAAAATTTAATACATTAAATACATGTAAGTAATGTAGAGTATTATGTAAGTAATGTAGAGTATTATGCTTAATTGCTATTTAATATACATGTAGTTAATGTACAGTATATGCTTATACACAGGGCTTCCCAAGGAATCTTGGCAAAGTGCTCAGCCTTATTATATACATGTACATGTAGTACAGGGTATTTTGCCTCCATTTTAATATATTTTTTACACATACAGTTATGTAATATTGGGGAGAAGTTTGAGTTGATTCTGATCAAAATTGAATTTTTCATGAATTTTTAAAGTTGCTCCAAAATTGAGCCAAAGTCCCTGTACTATAGTACAGGGTCTCGGGCCGAATTTCACCAAAATTGACAAGGAGAGCATCCTTCATTTTTACAATTTCATCTGATGCATATACATGTTCTTACCTTAAGCCTACTATTTTTAGCGTCTACTAAATTTAGCGATATTAGCGAGAGAGCTTTAAATTGCTAAATTAAATAGACGCCAAAATAATTATTATTCATTATAATGGTTATTATTTATAGTTAATTTGGTTAAAAACGCTAAAATTAGTAACGCTAAACATGGCTTTTGCTGATTTCGCTAAAATTAGTAGACGCAAATAATAGTAGGCTAAAGGTATGTTGTGTAGAAAGTTTGAGCTGATTCCAATCAAAATTGAATTTTTTATGAATTTTTTAAGTGGCTCCAAAATTGAGCCAAAGTCCCTGTACTATAGTACAGGGTCTCGGGCCAAATTTCACCAAAATCGACAAGGAGAGAATCCTTCATTTTTACAATTTCATCTGATGCATATACATGTTCTTATGTTGTGTAGAAAGTTTGAGCTGATTCCGATCAAAATTAAATTTTTTAATGAATTTTTAACTTGCTCCAAAATCGAGCCAAAGTCCCTGTACTATAGTACAGGGTCTTGGGCCAAATTTCAACAAAATTGACAAGGAGAGAATTCTTCATTTTTACAATTTCATCTGATGCATATACATGTTCTTATGTTGTGTACAAAGTTTGAACTGATTCCGATCAAAATTGGAATTTTTATAAATTTTTAATTTGCCCATGAAGCTGCTTTTAGCACACTTAGCATGCTTAGTGGGAAAGCCTGCTATACATGTAAATACATGTACATGTACATGTATATCTGCACTAAAATAAATAAAAATAATGACCACTACTTCAATCTTGTTTTGTGTAATTGTTTTTGTCTTACCTTTCACTTTCTCCCATATGCTGTAAGCAACAGGTCTCAATATGTAACAACCACTGACATCATAATACTCAATCATCTCAGCTTTAGTGATAACCTGACTGTACCAATCACTCAGGGACTCCTCCTTTTTAGCATTCACACCCAATCTATTAATGCATCAAAAAAGTAACATTGACACTAGTGTGGTTATATGTACATGTACAAATACATTTAGCAAGTTTTTAAGGATAACATACAGTGTTTCCTTCTTAGGTCCTTGTGCATCAGAAGCAGCTGCATATAACAGAGAATAAAAAAGAACAATGAAATACTGGAGGAATTAATGTACAGTACATCACTCAATATTTCTATCTCCCTCTCAATTACTTTGTTCATCTTTAGCTGGTTTACTGCTGTCACCACTGCCTTTACTGCCTTTGTCTTTCTTTCCTTCTTTCTTTCCTCCTCCTCCTCCTCCAGTAGCAGCAGTGCCAGTTGTTTTCTCTTGTTTCTTGTCTTTCTTCTTGCCTCCACTAGATGGAGCTGCCCCAGGAGGAGCTTCACCAGTCAGTTCTTTATAATCTGACTTCAACTTTAATAATACACCAACTGCACTGTCTATCTCTGCCTATAAATAAATAAAAATTAAAAAGATAAAAGTATAATTCCCCAAAAGAGACTTCTCTCATTACTTTGTCTGCTTTGCTTGATTTCAAACCTCTCACTGTTTCTCCTTGTTCCTTTATCTTTTCCAATAATTCCTCAGCAGTAGCTCCTCCTCCAGTAGCACCACCAGTAGTTGTACTAGCAGTAGCAGCAGGTGTACTGGTGGGAGGGCTTGGATCAATTGGCTTCTTCTTGGCTGGTTGCTCAGGTTCAGTAGGACCATCAGCTTTATTCTTCTAATAATGAAAAAATAAAGAAATTTATCAAGTCAATTTTTGAAAGACCACTTGCATTTGATTTGATGTCATTCGACAAATCACTACTGTTCACTTATTATGTTAAATTATTACAACATACCTGTGGTGGGTGTGGTTTATCAGAAGCCCCACCCACTAGAGGCACATTCATAGTTTTACTGTGTCCATCAGGTATCAGGAACAGTATGCAGGGTGAAGACTGGAAGGAATGGACTGAGGTTGGTCGATGAGGCTCGTCACATATATAGAAACCTTTCCTTTGGATTTGAATAATGTCACCTTTCTTCAGGTCCTTTAAACAAGGATCACCAATAGCATCCATTTCAACCTGAGGAGAGAGAGGGGGGGAGAAGAAAAAAAGAGAGAGCAGAAATAGAGGTACATGTAAGTCGATTAAATTAAATTAAGAAAAAATAGAATAAAGATAAAAAATTGAAGCAATTGATGCATACAATATAAATTACTTTTGAATTGTAATTGACATAGTCCTTGAAATTGTCTTCAGGTTTGAGTACTGGTTTAGTGATGATGTGATCAAAATGAACGCAGACAGTTGGAACAAATGAAGCACTCTTTGTCTTTGCAAGCCAAGTCAGTTTAGCAGTGTTTTTATAATTCTGTCATAAATACATGTACAATGTGTAAATAAAGATACTAATTATAGAGAAAAGTACATCATGTACTAAACTAATGAAAATAGAAATAAAGTGATAAACAAGCGTAACAGTGTAAAAATAATTCCTATAATTGATTTCACCACCTTGCATGCATAGCTGGGCACTTATTAAGACTTATAGAGGTTCTCTCTACCTGCAAATGCTTCTAGAGAAGTCTTTAGACAGTATCTCTATGTTCTCTGGCTGTTAGAAAGCTCATAACTTTGTCCCGTGTGTAAGCCGCCATTTTGTTTTCTGTGGCCACACTCACTTACGTAAAGGAGCGTGGGCGGTTGGTTGCTAAGGCTTGTTATTTCTCCAATACAACATGTATAGAAGAAATGTAAGTGTGGACATACAAATATATATATACAGATAGTGCAACGCCCCCAGGTCGTTAAAAAACATGACATGCATGACTATATGTATAAAAATTGAGAAGCTAACCTGATTCTCAAGGTTTAATTTAGCTTCCACTGACTGAAGAGCACCAGTTGAAGAGTCACTGTATAATTAAAGTAGAATATAATTTTACATTTACACTCAATCTTTCATTTTTTACAATGTATTTATTAATAAACTACTCAACAGTCAACCCACACAAAGTCATAGCAGACCCATGGTCATTGCATGGCCTAATTTTAAAGCAACGATTGGAATCTGTTCAAACTTTATATGTAGATGCATAAAAATTAAGAATTCTCTGCTTTTTAATTTTGGTAAAATTTGGCCCAAATTTTGAGCAAATTTAAAAATTCATAAAAAATCCAAATTTACTTTCTACACAACATAACATGTATCATAATAAAATTAATAATCTGCTTATCAAATACAAAGTATGGACTTACTTATTTATCTTAGTAATGACAACATTTCCCCAGTTAATCAAGGTAACAACATCGCCAACTTTAATTGTCTCAGCATCAACTCTTTCTATCAATACTTCACCTGAATACCAGACCTCCTTCTCACCAACACTGGGATCCTATAATATAAGAGCAAAAATGTATTAATTAATACTGTAGTATATAGTGTATATGTTCATGTATGCATGTCGTACATACAGTACATATGTAATTGTACATGCACGTTCATAAAAAACACATACATATATTTAAAAAATATACATACACATGCATGCTTTATAATGCTTGTTTGTTATCACATGCAGTACTGACCTTGGGATGCTTAGGAACCATTTTACTAGTTTCATCTTTAACTTCAGGTATCAGTAACGGAACAGTGTCAGTAAGTGCAGTATATCGAGGAGAGATGGGATCAATAACCTTGTAATGAGAGAGAGAGGGGGGAGAATAAGGAGATTAAATAAGTAAAAAAAAGTAAAAATCAAACTAATTCACGTACATGTATGCACTGCCCTTAAAATAGTACACATGTACTTAAATACATGTGTACAATTTAAAGGTCTTATTTCTGTTGTTACATACTTTTCTATTAAAAGCCCATATCTTATTCCAGTCCATCATAGTGACAGCACGGGATGACCCCTGAGCTGCTATGAATAATTTCAGACCCTCTACAGTCATTCCTCTCCTCAATACACCACGCACTGTTGGGAACCTTGGATCATCCCTACAGACACAAAAATACATTTAAACAAGCGTAACAGGGTAAAAAATATTCCTATAATTGATTTCACCACCTTGCAAGTACAACTTGGTCATTATTAAGACTTATAGAGGTTCTCTCTACCTTATAATGCTTCTAGAAAAGTCTTAAGACAGTATCTCTATGCTCTCTTGCTGTTAGAAAGCTCTTAACTTTGTCCCATGTGTAAGCCGCCATTTTGCTTGCCGTGACCACACCCACTCACGTAAAGGAGCGTGGGCGGGTGGTTGCTAAGGCTTGTTATTTCTCCAATACAACATGTATAGAAGAAATGTAAGTGTGGACATACAAATAAATATATATATATATATATACATAGCGTGACAGTGAATTCAATTATAGGAACGACCTGGGGGCTTCGCCCCCAGGTCGTTAAAAATGAATAAATAATAATAATAATAATAATAATAATAATAATAATAATAATAATAATAATAAAAGGTTTAATTTACAAATATAGTAATCTTCAATATAACAAATAGTTCATAAGCAAAATAATGTACATCTGACAAATTCATTGCATTAATCAAAATACAAGTGAATTCAGCTAGATTACAATGCACATGTACATACATGTACATGTATATATCTGCATGATTAATTACATTAGCAAACCTGTGAACATGCACAATTGCATAGACAAACATGAAATTGGGCCTTTTACACAAAAATACATGTATTACAAGCACTGTGTACATTTAGAGAGTATATGTACATGTGCATGTACTTACCATCCACTAACGATCCCTTCATTAACAAACCAAGTCAGCTTACGCTTGGAGAGTACAGTGTTCTGGAGATTAAGACGACTGTACTCGTATATGTATGGCTTCCTTAAACCTGTAGAAACCAAGAACAGTTTAATAATGGTAATAGGAGCTGGGAATGACTGACCTAAAGCATCAAGTATCCAGAAATACTGTGGGTCCCTGTCATGATACTCAGTAGTCCTCAGGGCATGAGTAACACCTTCAATACTGTCAACCAATGGACAAGCAAAATCATATGTAGGATACACTCTATAGGGAAGAGAAGGGGAGGGAGAGAGAGGAGGAAGAAAAAAAGGAAAGAAAAAGGAATGAAAAAAAATACATGTATATACAATGAATTAGATGCTGTATGACTCACTTGTATTTAGTTTTGGTTCGTGGGTGTGGTTCCAGCTTACACCTGTACAGTACTGGGTCTCTCATGCAGCCATTATCAGAGGCATAGTCAATCTTAGCACGTAAGCAACACTGGAGACCAGCTTCAGACCCAGCCTTCATCTCCTCCCACATATTGAGATTATCTTGAACAGCTACAACAAGCAAAAACATGAACATTGATATATTGCATGTTAAGCACAATAAGTACATAATTTAATCAATATACAGTGGAACTTCCGAATAACAAAACTTTTGGGACAACAATTTTTTTTCATTACATGGGAGTTTTAATTAAAGAGAAGTTTTTTTAAGTAATAGGAAATGAAATTGGTGCATTAAAATTTTTTCATTGCATTGAGATTTTTGTTAAAGAGAAGTTTCATTATCAGAGGTTCCACTGTATATCCTAAAAAACATCTATGCATATGCATGTACTGTACATATGCATGTACATTGTATGTACTCAAATGCTACATACATGTAGTACAAAGAATCAAAGATATTAAATACATGTTGCAACATGTCTCAAACTAGCTTACATCTGTCCCTACACTTTGAAGGTGTCCTGCTCTCCCTTTCCTGCTTCATGACTTCACCCGGAGTGTTGTCAACATAAGCTTTGCCGTCTCTTATCAACGTGTCTACACAGAAAGAACAATCATACATGAACAGTGTAATAATGTACATGTACATGTATATATGTATCTCAAGTCATTTAAGTTATAATGTATTACACATGTACATGTACATGTATGCCAATAAACATGGAGCAGATGATACACTTGTAACTTGAGCTGCCATTAAAGACAAAAATTGTCAAACCGCAATATAAACACATCAACCATCAATCACTATAGCAATTAATATATAGAAGATACACTGTATTCTATGGGAATGAGGAACATTGTGATAGTGAGGAAGATTTTACACTTTACAGTATTATTATACACGTACATGCAGGCACAGTATAATATGGATTGATAGTGGTTCTAACCGCATAACAAATTAAATAATCAATCAACAATTACTAGAAACAGCAAACTACTGCATGACTGCCAGTTTCAGTCATAATATTATGGCCAGCAGCTGTATAGCCTTCCCTCAAATTCAAAAACTGTAACACCAGAAACCTTAACAATCCTGCTACTGTATTCTAACCCCCATTAACAGTACATGTACATCTCATCCCTTTTCAATTCTCCTACTTCAACAATAGTTACAACTGCATGGATTAACAAATTACAGTATAACAATGTCAAATTATAAAAGTATGGATAAAGATGTGTGTGTGTGTGTGTGTGTGTGTGTGTGTGTGTGCGTGAGACTGTGTGTGGATATGCAGTATGTAGCATACCAGCATATTCCAGGTATTTGTCAAAGTAGTCAGAAGTGTAACTGAATATGTCCGGTTTGATGTTAAGCATAGCCACGTCATCAAGAATGACCTAAAGAAGAAACAAAAAATATCAATATATACCGTATTGTTGTACATGTACACAGACAATAATGTACTGTAGATAAAACTGACCAAAATAACATTAATTTTATTGTGACAAAAACTATATTCTTATAGTTATATACATGTAGCATAAAATAAAATGATACTAAATTACTAAAGTCGGTCAATCTAGTATGCATACATGTACATGTATATAACATCAATTGTACATGTACGTACATGTACAATTGTACAAGTACATGTCGTAAGTAATTGCGGTTGCATCCCAATGTCATTAGCAGGTGTATCATGTGAAAAATAACAAAACAATCTCAATGTTAAAGGACGATTAAAAACTTATAAAATACACTATAGTTCTTCAAAGGAAAGAAACAATTAGAGGACTCTTTAAAAGTCACGCAAAGACACATCTTTCAACCAGGCAATAAATAAACAACCAAAATATAACAGAGAAACAATTATCATCATATATGTAGGCATAACTAACAAATAGATTGAGTATTTAGTATGAATGTCTCCTTAATGAGAGAAATAAAAGCATACAATCTTAATACATACTACAGGAAGTCAGGAACTACTCAAAACAGTATCACACATGAAGATCAAAGAAAATACTTATAATAGCTCCCTGGATTGAATAATAATTATGTGTACATTCCATCACGTACTGTACCTTCTCAAAGTCAACTTTCTCCTTTTCTGGATTAGTGTCATCAAACCTCATGATGAACTTACCCTCAAAGAGCAGCTGGTAATACTGATTGAGCAATGCTGCCTTAGCATGACCAATATGAAGATACCTGTATGAGATAGAAAAAGAAGAGGGGAGGGGGAAGATTTAAAAGGGGGTAGATAAACGACCATTAAGGTATACATTTGCACAAAAATAAAGAGCATTAAATATACATATGCATCTACAGCGTACATGTATGTATAAAAAGTTAAATCTAGACTATCCATTTATAATGTAAGGATATGTTGCTGCATGCTTACCCTGATGCTTCTGGTGGGAAGCGAGTGACAACCTTTCCTTTTGCAGCTCCTGGCAGTTCAACAAACTTACCAACATCAGACTGAATACCTTTAACCACCCCGGGACCATCCTGAAACAATAATGGAGGTACAATGTACTACTGTGTATTACATAAACACATCCAAAATAGTAAATTAAAGTAAAATGAGTTGCTGTATAAAGCAACAGTTTTATTCTAGTAAATGACCAAAACATTTTTTGGAGCACTCATCACAGAGTTTCCCACAGGATTTAGATACAGTGCTTCTTAATTGTCAGTGGATTGAAAGACCCTGTACAGGGCCAAGAAAATCCCCTCAAAAAATTGCTAGGAGAGAACCCATCATTTAAATAATTTCTTTCTAATACATTTACACCTATTTATGTTGCATAGAAAGTTTGAGCTGACTGATCAAATTTGGATTTTTTTGAGAATGTTTAAAGCTGCTCCGAATACTATGTACCTGCTTGTCTACTTTAAAGTGCAATGTTTAGCTCAGTTAGCATGTTTTGTGGGAAACCCTGGCTCATCAGTGACATATGGTTCACAAATATAAAAACCACCAGTATACACTATAATCATGAAACTACCAATATTAAGTGATACCATAAGTTCCCATTATAAAGTACACAAAGGTACAGTATACACAAATACATTGTACATGTATTGTACATAAAAAAGAATTTTTGTTACTACAAACCGTGAGAGAACAACATATTATGTTAGTAGTAGAAATACTTGTACTAATTAAATATAAAATGTACTACAACTCACAGTCGTCTCAATTGTTTGGATTGAATATGTTGCAAGGACATTCTTTATTGCATCATTCTCAGTTAAGAACTGATACCATCTGTTTAGATTCTGACCATTAGGAGAATCACCACCAAGAATACCTGGTAATAATAATGTTAAATAATAACAATAATAATAATATAATAATAATAAGAATATTAATAAATATATGTAATTGATAAAATAATAATTGATGAAAGAAAAATATCATTAATATTATGCATTTTCCAATGTGATTGACCTCTAAGAGCAGCAAATATGGCAATGTCAGCAAGGGAGAGAGAATATCCAACCAGAAATACTCTAGGAGCTAAAACCGTATCAAGATGACTCATAACTGATTTGGAATCACACGATGCTGACATTGATCTGACGCTATACTCCAGCCAGTGATCAACCTGCCAGACAACAATAAGAAAAAGAATGTCTATCATAATTGTGACTAACATCAACCACTGTATAGTCTGTTTTATTGTTACATAGATTAAATATGGTAAGTCACGAAACCACAGCCCTCCTCTCTCTTTCTCTCTTACTTCAGCTTTTTGCAAGTTATTCCCACCGTACAGCTGACACCCTTTCCCTGCCAAACGACACAAGTGTCTCGCTGAAGCGAGGGCCCCTGACACTGTAGAACCACTAATCAATAGAAACACAATTTTATTAAAATATTTTAGTATATTATACATGCATGTATGACGTATGTACATGTACATTACAATAATTAAGAATAATGCATCAAATATTAATTATACAGGTAAGTGATTAATATTTCCTTACTCTTCCTGTGTGAATGAAATATTTTGTCCAATAGAAATATCAATGTTAACAGTGTCTTTAACGAGTTCAGCAGTCACCAGTGGAACTATTTATAAAAAGTGATTGTGGACATAAATTAAATAAATATCAATAGCTCACTCAAGCTAAGAGGAGAAGAATTGACATTCAGAGTTGCCCTTGAAGAAGTCGCCATTGCGTCAGAACAGATGAGAATTGATGATCACTTTGATCAGGCAACACGTGGGAGAAATAAAAGACGGAGAAAAACGGAAAAGCCAAACTAGTAAAATTAAACTTAAACCGCGCCCACGTTCCCGCCTTAATTAGCCCCACCTTATCCCCTCCCCCTTTTAAAATGGCTACCACTGAATAGGTCCCTGATCTTTCAAGCCATGTTTTCTCAGTTGTTTGTATTGTCTAGCAGAGGAGACATACTCGTCTTCAGAGACTGTAATGAACAGAATAGGCACCTCCCATTAATTAATGTGTGCCTCTCTCTCCTTCCCTAATAGATAGAGGTGATGTTGACAAGGACACTCCTGACATATTCTTCAAGTACATCAAGAAATGGAAAGAGGAAAATGGAGCGTATCCCCCGCCGGCCATTGTATGTGTACGGCACTAAATTAATAAATACTTTTTGATTATGATTTATTTGTGGTTTTTAAACGACCATTTCATTTCATTGTATCACAGAATCAAGACAAGACTCATTTCCTGTACGTACGAAGGAATAATCTTTATTTTGTGGGCGTGACTAAATTCAACGTGGCCCCTGCCTGTGCATTAGAAGTCCTTGGAAGGTAAGAAAGGATTATTAGTTTATTATATTGAAGAGTATGATAATGACTGATGGCTTGTTTTCTTATACACAGAGTGGCCCAGTTGTGCAAGGATTATTGTGGAGTGCTTAATGAAGAGTCTCTACGTCTTAATTTTATATTAGTATATGAATTATTGGATGAAGTTTTAGTAAGTAATTTTACATGTACTGGGACATACATTAAGAACATGTTTCCAAGAGTGGATAATTATTACATGATTTTAAACTAATAATATTAGGTCTATTCTGCTAGACTACACTTGCGTTTAAACTTTTAGTGAGAAATCTCGATATTTAATTTAGGAGCAGTGTACATGCATTCTCAGACATATTGTGTACTCTTATCTCTTCTTTATTCTCTTTTGAGACACTAGTGACATTATTGATTGTTGTGATTACTTTTTAAGTAGAACAGTCTGTGTTTATGTATTCAAAAGTATATACAGGATCTGCTATGGCAACTGCTAACTACACGAATAAATTTCCATTTTATAATACATTATGATACCACATTAGACTATTTTTATACAAATATACACATGTATGTCTGATTCATTTTATAATACATAAAGGCCTTTTCACACTGGCCAAAGTAATGCGCATTGATGCGCATTAATCGTGTTCACACTAGAGTGGTTTTCAATTAATGCGCATTGATGCGCATCACTCTCACTTCACCTCCAGAGGTGGATTGATGTGAAGTGATGCGCTTCAATCAATGTAAACCAATGGCAACAAGAACACAAATGATACATGATTCAGCTGCTAGTGTGAACACAATCAATGCGCATTATTTCAACTGTATCAACAAAGCGCATCAAAGCGCTTTGAAAACTGTGCCAGTGTGAAAAGGCCTTTAGACTATATTAGACTGTGTCTTGATAATTATGCTCTTACATGTACATGATAGACTCTGTACATGTTTGTTTTGTGTATTTATTTATTTCATAATTTGAGTGTGTGCTTGCTTTGCATGAGTACCTTGTGTGGTTTGTATTAATTGTTTTATTAATTGTTAGTCTCTTTTATGTTCCATTGTCTGTGACCTTGTTATGATAAACAAGTTCCAAATTATTACAAACAAACCCTTCGCTCCTTTTGATGCTGCTATTCCAAGTCACACCTCATAATTATCCTGTTCCTGCTTTTCACTTTTGTCTCTCCCTCTCTCCTTCCTTCCCTCTCTCTCCCCCTCCTTTTTCTCACAGGATTTTGGTTATCCTCAGCAAACTAATACTGAGATTTTAAAGTCATACGTTTCTAATCAGCCAGTGGGTGTGGTTGTTGGCTCAGACTCCAGTGGTACAAAGCGTACATTACCATCAACAGCTGCTAATAAACCAATAGCAGTATCACTGGACTCAATGGTATACTAAACATTAACTTTATTAAAACACTCTCTCTCTCCCTTCCTTTTTACACATGTACATGTACATGTAAAAGTACATGTATCTCTTAGTCTACATGTATTTCTTTATTATTTCTCTTTTTTCTTTATAGAAAGATCAGAAGTATGAGATATTTGTTGACCTTTTGGAGCGGCTAACAGTACTGGTAGCATCAAACGGACACACACTGAGGTCACATATTGATGGATCACTGGTGATGAGGAGCTTCCTTGGGGGAAACGCAGGTTAGCTATATACATGTACATGTACATGTAGTTTTGATAAGTATATGTATATTGTGTATCTGGATATTTATGCTTTAGAAAATTAAAGTTTTAGAAAATTGTTCAGGATTTACATGTAATTGTAATAAGAATATGTATTATTGAATGTGGCGTGTAATTATTATGCGTGATTTAATTTTTGTGAATTTGTAATCTAGCAAAATTAAGTAATGGCCAGACAGACGGTATATCAATCCTGAATTCTTAGTACATGTGTCATTGGTCTTATAATGATGTTACTTAAGTTGATTGTACAACTATAAACCTTTTTGTAGTACATTCATAGGAACACACTTTTCATCATTAATGAAACATGTGTTGTACATGCATGTATATGCATTCATTGCATTGCAAGAAAATTTAAGGAATTTTAACTGATAATTACTAAGCAGTTACAACGTGTAAAGTACTGAGCATTACATTTTGATTTTAGTCAATAAAGATATTAAAATGCTGTAAATAATCACACAACAATACTTTGATCAGTGTTTATTTTTTATTGTTTTATTTTTGCACAAAATTACACAAACATTTAACACACAAAAACACTTGAACACACACACACACACACACACACACACACTTACATACACACACACACACACACACACACACACTTACATACACACACACACGCACACTTACATACACACACACACACTTACATACACATGTACATGTACATGTACACACCAGAGGTACATTTAGGTCTGAACACTGACCTGGTGATAGGACGGGAGGAGAGGATGGTACGAGGAACAGGATCCGTCGTCCTGGAGGATTGTTCATTTCACGAAAAGGCAAACCTGACAGACTTTGATAGAGACAGAAACCTTTCAATAGGAGCACAAGATGGAGAAGTAAGAGACAGAGAGAGAGAGAGGGAGAGAGAGAGAGAGGGAGGGAGGGAGGGAGGGGAGGGAGGGAGGGAAGGAGGGAGGGAGAATAATGAATTAGGTACATATATACATTTTGTACTAGGTACATATATACATTTTGTACTATGTACATGTACATGTATCATGCAACTATAGTTCATGTATATTATGATAAAGACTACAGTTACAATGGTTTTATAGTCAAAGAGTAGATGGCATATGATGACAGCTGCTATATGTATCATTGTTTGTTATTCTCTGAACTAGTTCACTGTTATGAAGTATCGTGTGGCTGCTAGTGACATTCTGAATCCAATACCATTCAGGATATTCACTAACATTGAAGATGGACAGTTTCCAAGGTTGGTATAAGTGTACACGTATTAATGTAGATTTAATAATATTCTCTGTGTGTGTGTGTGTGTGTGTGTGTGTGTGTGTAATTTTGAAGTATATTATTATACATATACATGTACATATGTATGTCTAATACGATTAATTTATTTCATTTTAATTACTTTATATGTACATGTACACACGATTCTGATGTAACATGTATTAGTGCATACATGGTGTGTATACAATGACTATTTTAATGCTTCCTTCCTCCTTACTTAACGGAGACATGTACTAGCTGTGTACATGTACATGTATAATGATGATATCATACATTGCATGCACATACATGTATAAGATGTAATATAACTACAAGTATTGAATGAATGTCTTGTGGTGGTGAACTCTGTCACTCTCCTCATCTTAATCTTTCCTCTTGTACTTTCATCTTTCTTGTATTTCTATCCCCCACTCCTCTCATTCTCCACCACATTCCTCTTTTATTACTTTCATTAATTTGTTATTTTTTTCCTTCACTTTCTCATTATCTTCTTTTTTTGTTTCCTCTATGTTCTTTCTCTCTCCCCTTCCCTCTCCCTCTCAATGTATAGGAGTCTTCGTATTACTGTTAGAATAAAATGTGAGATGCCAGTCAAGTCCTCAGGGACCAATATTGTAGTTCGGATACCAGTACCTAAGACAACTATCAGGTACAGTGACATATTACTCTACATTGCACATAATAAGAATGATGATAATGCTACAGGTGCGTGTACAATGTACATGTGTATAGTTGATAATGGAATCCTATTCCTTTAATGTATGTACGATGTACAGTTGTTGGTGAACCATGTTATTCACTCCTTTCACATTTCATTCCCTATTACTCCTCCTCCCTCCTCCAAATCTCCCCCTCTTCCCTTCCCTCCCCCTCCCTCTCTCTCTCTCTCTCTTCCTCTTTTCATCATGTCTCATTTGTTCACTAATGATCCATGCACTCCATTCAATGCACACACACACACACACACACACACACACACACACACACAATCATCAGAGCACACACACATGCACATACCGGACTCAACATCTGGGGAGCATTATTATGTTTGACAGGGTTAATTGTCGGTGTTTTAATGGACTGTAAATTCCATGGACACTTGTACTACTCATTCTTTCTTAAGTGCATGTAGTACTCTATGTACACACATATGCATGTACATGTACATGTACATGTAGTTCCTTTGCATTATTGCAGTGTGGATGTGCCTGTGCCATATAGAAATATACGTATGCAAAGAATTTTTCAATTGTTCTAGCTATACTACTGTAATGAGTATGTTAAAAGGTATGGTTACTGTTATTTTAGCATGTACATATGGTGTGATGTCTGCATGACTGTGCTTGGTGTAATGTGGGGTGTAGGAGTCTCTGAGTGTCATTATTGTGTTATTAATAATTTGTAATTGCTAGCATCTGGTTTTGTAATTGCTTCCTGTCAGTGCTTGTGAACCTGGGACCTCTCTGGAATTATTATTTAATGCTATAGGAGCAAGGGAATGCTCAATACATTATTGTTTCTCATGTAATAGTAATATGTTTGACAGTGGGGGAACATAATTGTGATAACTACACGTATACTATACAATCATGTAGACTGTACATTACTATTCTTAATGATAGGAATAACAGTTTTTATTAATACTACAGTAGTTTATTGTGGCTTTAGGCCTGAAACTTGATCAAAGTCATATAGTGATAGGAATGTGGTGTAGACTCACATGTACCTAATGGTAGTGTAGCCTCTAAGACCAGACAGCATCTAGTGGATATTATTATTGTTAGTAACGCAGTGGCGTTACTTAGTAGGATTCATGGCTGCTACGACTTTTGTAGCCTTGCTATATATGTACATGTAAATGTACTGTGCATGTTATCAGGAGTCTGGTATTGAGACCTTGTTCATTCCTGTGGTTGTAGGCTTTACTATGAATGTATTACATGTACAGTGTGTGTGCTATTAGAGGACTTGAAGTGTATGTCAATCTTACTCTAACATTATATTGACATTAACATTATACTGTACATGAACTTATTGAGATATTGGTATGTACATGTACATGAACGTGCATGCACGTATGTGGTATTGTGGTATGTGTACATTTTAGTATTTATTTATGTTGTTGAATTTGATTTGCTAAAGAAATAATCCTTTTATCAAATTTACAATCAGGGTGCCCACAGGATTTCGGCATAGTGTCAAAAATGGTTCAGAGAGAATTTTCCATTTTTATAATTTTTTCTGATACATATATGTCTTCTTATGTTGTGCAGAAAATTTGAGTTGATTTCGATCAAGTTGGGATTTTTTATGAATTTTTAAAACTGCTCCAAATGCCATGTACTGTATTATAGTGCTTGTCAGTTCATGAAGCATGCTGTTTAGCTCACTAAGCAATGTTAGCATGCTTTGTGTAAAATATCAAGCATATGTCATTAATATGTCTATTCTTTATCATTCCAGTGTGTCTTCAGTTTATGAAGCATGCTGTTTAGCTCACTAAGCAATGTTAGCATGCTTTGTGTAAAATATCAAGCATATGTCATTAATATGTCTATTCTTTATCATTCCAGTGTGTCTTCAGTTTATGAAGCATGCTGTTTAGCTCACTAAGCAATGTTAGCATGCTTTGTGTAAAATATCAAGCATATGTCATTAATGTGTCTATTCTTTATCATTCCAGTGCTGTTTAGTTCACTAAGCAATGTTAGCATGCTTTGTGTAAAATATCAAACACGTGTCAATATATTATGCCTATTCTCTGTCATTCCAGTGTGTCTAGTGAGCCATTGGGTGCTGGGAGCAGCACTGAATACCGCGAACCTGACAAGATGTACATTTGGAAACTGAAGAAACTTGAAGGAGGGAATGAAGAGCAGCTAGTAATGAAGGTAAGCTGATAGCTTCACTTGTGTTATGATGAGTCATGGGAGAATGGACATGAGGATTGTGTATTCAGAAGCTTTATATGATAGAATAATTTACATTCAGTTTAACGGCTCCTTGTGTAATTGTATTACAAATGATACACATATACATGTACTATAACCTATTCCATATTTATGTACGTGTACTATAGCCTATTCTTATTCATGTATGTGTACTATAGCCTATTCCATATTGCTATGTAAAATGCTGTCATTTACAAGTATTTGTGGTGCATGTAGATGTACAATAGTAAAGGTACAACAGTAGAGGTTAAGTGTACTCATACGTGACAAGCCCTGGGGCAGCATGTAACATACATGTATGATGACGTCTCTTCCTTTGTTTATTTATTCACTCAGCTCAATCTGAGTGAGGTTACCAAAGCAACCAAGAAGGAGGTAAATTCAGTGAGCATGGAGTTTGAGATACCCATGTACATATGCTCTGGACTCCAGATCAGGTTTCTGAGGATATTTGAGAAAGGGCGTCCTGTGTCTCCGTATCGCTGGGTTAGGTACATAACTCACAGTGACTCTTATGTGTTTAGGGTATGATCATTGTATTATCATCATTGTTATTATTATTATTATTATTAGCTGTTTTATTCATTTTAGTTTCTTTTAAGGTTAAAATTTTACATTTGTGCCTTCGTTTTGTTTTTGATTCTGTTTATAATACTGTAATAGAATTTATTATTAAAAATATGAAAATATGAAATGACTGGAGATGGATACATGTTATAAACGGAAGGGATTCATAAAAGTAAATAAAGATATAAATAAAAGGATAAAAGGATTGTTTACATGACTGATTTAATGTGCTTCCTCTCTTTCAGGTAAAAGTCAATTCTGTTTCTTGTATTTCTATGCCCTCTGCATCATTGTACATTGTAACTATTGTCTGTTCTTCCTCTGACCTCTGATGTCCTTTAGCATCATCATCATCATCATCATCATCATCAATGCACTCATTAATGTATATTGTGGTTGTTCCTTCATTAAGAGGAATGAAAGATGGGTTGGTAGGCAGCTTGCGATCATCAAGGACAGGTTTGTATTCCAAACGTATGTTCTCGTTGAAAGAGTCGCTTGACGAGTGAGTACTCTCCCTGTGCTTCTCACAGGGAAGGTCCTCTTCCTTTTCCTCTGGTAAGGCTGTCAGCTGTGAGACGTGGCCTGAGAGACTCGCTAGACTAAACCTCCTGTCCTTGAGTGAGCCGAGAGAAGAAGTAGAAGTATTAATGACAGACTCTCCTTGTTCAGATAAGTAACTGTTGTCACTCCCAAGACTAGACTGGGAGGATCTCTCAGGTCTGCCCGTATGAATCAGTGAATGCATTGGAGGAGTCTCTTCATCGGACCCACCGCTCAGTGTACTCCCTCTCCTAGAACTAGTTGTAAACCCAGAGATGAGTGACAGCTCCGTCCCACGCCTGTGAGCTTGACGTTGATTTAAAAACGGTCCGTTGACAGTGACGTCCTCAGAGGATCGCCTTGAATTACTCTTCCCAGTTGAGTACTCCTCGTTGCTTGAGTTTTGCTTGATTTGTTTCTTTGCGCAACATTTCTTACAGACATTGCATCGGTCGAATGCAGAGAAAACTATGCTGCGAAACTTGCGAGTCGAGAAAGAGTAGAGTATTGGATTGAGACAGGAATTGAGTGGAAACACAAATACCATTAGTATCTTAGAGTCAGTGACGTTTATCAGTGGCTTCTGGAATACAGCCGTGAGTCCAAAAAGAGCAATAGGAGCCCAGCAAGCGAAGTCAGTCATGACGAGTAAACTCATTCTCAGGGCCAGTTTAAGCTCTTCTCTTCCTGAGAGAGTCTTTGTGATCGATCGATTGTTGCATACCACTAAATAGAATAATAGAACATAGCAGAACATGATGGCAAAACTTGCTATGCCTGTTAAGACAAGGATTAATACAATGTAAGCTTGGTCTGCTGTTTCTCTTGCCTCGAAAGGAAGACAGATGCCTACTCTCTCATAGCTACTCAAGCCCACCATTGGTAGTATGCACAGTGTGATTGTCAGTACCCATCCTACTAATATGCTGACGGTGACTGTTTGCTTGTGAAATCTTTTGTGCTGCAATGCAAATTTTATAGTATATACACGCTCGACTGTAATGACTAGCAGCGTATAAATGGAGAGTAGACTGGAGAAGATGGCACAGAAACCTGCAAACCTACAGCCAGCACTAGTCTGCCACTCTATAGCATGCCTCGAGTAGTCACCAATGGTATCAAGATCAACCACTGCAATTGTTAGTAGGTATATCCCCATGAAAAGATCAGCCATTGCAAGGTTAATGTATAAAAAGTACATGAGGTGAGGTTTCTTATGATTCTTCAAATATCGTGATATGAAATACAACAGTGTTGCACTCAATACTACAATATTCCCTCCTATTGAAAGGATTATAACCAACCACATCCCAGCTCTTAGGAGATTATTGTCTATAAGATCAGTGCAGGGATTGAATGGGTCGTTTCCTGGGGAGCAGCTCACAAAATCCTTCATTTCCTCAAAAAAAGATCCTTGAGCGACATTGAGAGAAGTGCATGTAGGAGTTGGTGTCCCTACAAAAGCACTGTTCTGATCACTGGTACTTGATGAACTAGAGCTACGTAATGTTGATGATGGAGAAGGTAAAGATGATGATGATGATGGTATTACAACAGTGCTTGTAACTGAACCACTAGTCACTGCTGATTGTACGACCGGTGAGCAGATTAGGTTGCTGCAAGGCTCATTCTCGCATTCAGTGATGCTTGGAGAGGGTGAAGGGAAAGTTGAGGCTTGGAAGCAAGTTAGAGAGACAGTCACTGATGGAGTTATTGTTACCTGAACACTCGAACAGTCTAAAGAGTCCATAATCGAAGAAGATGCAAGAATAATTGTTTCATTTGCTTGAGTGTCTCTCCTCCTTCGCTTCTTGAAATCATCACAGCATGTTGTGTATTTTTCGCATCCACTTATTTCGCAATCATTTGAAAGACACCAATTGCATTCTTCCGAATCATAACAAGTGTTACAATCAAACGGAGGCTCTGTTGGAGTTGGAGTTGTGGAAGTGGTTGACGTTGAAGTGATGGTTGGAGTTGAGGTAGTAGTTGAGACAGCAATTGATGTTGAGCTAACAGTCTCACCAATACAAACTAGGGTCTGTGTTACTGTTGGTGTTACTGTTACTGCTATTGATGTGCATGTAGGAGATGATATTTCAGTGCTTGTACTAGAGAGTGATAGCAGCTCAGAAGAAGTCATTACAATAGATGGTGTAGTAGAAGGAATGATAGTTCCATTACTCCAGCACAATGAAGTATGTAACAGCGTTGTTGATGGTGATGGCATATTAGCATTACGTTTCTCTACTTTATCTGCACTTCTGAAAAGGAATGATCTTGTCCTTGATGGGCATCGATTATTGCTAAATGTTACCTCCTTAAGACTTTTCTGTGTTCTAAATTGACAGCAGAGAGCATGATACTCGAATTTCACTTCCTTGAGTAATGGAAAGGTGAGATCAGTGCAGAGATATGGATCATAGTCAGTTCTTGCGGGAGGGAAGGTCTTTAAGTTTTTACATCTATCAAGGTTGAGATATTTTAAATAGCGACGGAGACCAGTTGTTGGAAAGGAACTAATATCAGTGTAAGACAAGTCCCTATAAAAACAAATTAATTAAATCTGTTGATACAGAGATACAAATTGATACATTACAGAGTGTCAATGTGTAATCACTTACAGATTGGTCATGGACACACCTTCAAAGAAATTATCGCCAATCGTGTGCAATGGATTTTCAGAAACATTACTGAATAGATTGAAAGCATTAGTCATGCATGAATTTCTATTGGCACTTACAGTGTTGTTAAAATACAAGAATCAAGAAATGTTCCATCTCTTAATGTAGTGATTTCGTTATGTTTCAGATCGCTATACAAAATGAAAAAGTATGTGACAGCCATTGTTGATTTAATGATGGTTTACATGTAAGTAAGGAGAGGGCATTGCTTGACTTTGTCGTATGATATGTCTCTTATCTTATTGTACTGTAATTCACTAAAAAATAAAAGTTAGTAATTAAATATTTTATGCAAAAACCCTGCAGCAACTTACAGTTTTACTAATCTTTTGGAACCAGACAAATTTGGAAATTCAGTCAATCTATTGCCCGTCATTACCCTGTGTAGTAATAATTTTATTCATTAATCATAAGTTTATACAGACAGACAGATGGACACAAACTAATTATACCATACTCAGTAACACCTATCGTAACACTATAGCTGTCCATATATTGCACTACTATAATATGGTAACACGATTTACACTTAGCAAAACAAGAATGTTATCAAAGAATACAATGGAATTATGCTTTATGAGCTACAAAAGGCAGCAAAGAGCTCAATGGTTACATGCCAATTACACAACAATGCACCAACTGCAATAAGGCTGCAGTGCATACTTCAAGAGCTATTAGTCTATATAGTAGCAATCGCATTCTTTGAACACATGAACTGGTTAGCTGATATACAGACAGCCTATTGTAATCAACTTTTGATAGGAACATAATAATGAGCTTACAGTTTGTTTAAGTATGTTGAAGAGCTGAAAGCCTCAGCAGATATACTTGACAAGGAACTATCTTGTATTTGTCTGTATAATAATGCAATGAATATATGGATATTGGATTGGAACATACAAAGTGTGTAATTTAGGATATGCCTCCAAGTGGCTTTTGTTGAGGTGCGTAAATGTTGCTCCTTTGATGTGTCTAAAAAAAGGTAGATACATGTCATTCAGCTAAATTTTAAATTTTGTTCGTCACTTTAATACAAATAACTATAGCAGCAGTGTGTTAAGTAGCATTACATGGAATATCGAACTCCCTCTTTGTCCCTATTTTGCAGTCCATTAATTACTGGCCATAGATAGAAATATGATGTAATATCATTGCCACTGATGCATCAATATCAGTGCCATGTATAAGTCACTGCCATGCATCAGTCAACTGTCACTTACATTGATAAAATCGAGTCATATTTCTTCGTTGCTACTGGAAAATAAGATAGTATACCAGATGAGCTGCTACCCCTGGGGATGCACTCAATTGATGCGGTGGAACAACTGCATCTTTGGGCATTGAAACCTCTGTCATGGCATTTATTATTAGCAGTGCATGAGCTGAGGACCAAAAAGAAAGCCACCAGGAGAAACTGCATAACTTGCAGATGATATCAGCTCGTCAGTATGGCACCAGACTGTAAGTCACTGCCTTTCTCTTCAGTCTCTTGGAGGAGAAGCGATTTTTTTTGACAGTTACTTTTTGTTTTTATAAGAAGGGGAGTGTATCAAATTACACCTACTCCCACTGGATACATACATAGCTCATACACTATACTAAAATATCTATATATAGCATTTCTACAGATCATAATTAATAATAACATTAAGCTATGCTAAGAATGTTGTATGCCTATGCCACTGGATCGGTAGAACTGTCTCCTCACGACTGCAACTCTCACATAATCTCTTGTCATTGATTCTAATGGAGCACCTTTACCATACACACTATTGGAAAGAATGGGAACTGGCTTATTCTCTTCTTCTCCTCTAATGTTAAGACCCTAGAATTATAATGCACGTTAATTGCATGCCTCAGTATTGGTGCTAACTTGAGTGTGCTGCATGTCATCTCTCTTTAACTTCTGATTGTACCCTTCATTTACACAAAATGTCATATCATAGTCATAGTCTCTCTTGTGCGTCTTTTGATTGTCAAAATAGCTCCGAGGTTTACTCAAATCCGGCTACAGGGAAAAGAAAAAAGCACCGACGTCAATTAGAGTATGGAGAACACTGAGTGACATTTTTTGTTGTTGCTTCAGATGTGGTTTTGATGGGATGCTACGAAAAGGGAGTCATGCCTCAAAAAATAAACATGCGATTGAACTAACAATGTACAATGCCAACCCATTCTATTGCATAGAATATATTGTCCGGTATACTGTGAGTTCACAATGTTTAATATTGAGTCATTGATGACATAAACACAATGTGATATCGATCCCTTCACTCCACAATTATCTGCATTCTTGCAAAACAATAAACAAGACCATTGTGGTCAATACACTAATAGTGGGGGTTAGTGGCATTTCTATCACTTTGCTAATCAGTTTGCACACTTGTTTTGTGTTTATACACATACTTTTTTCTCAGCTAGCTTCTTTGTGGCATCATGGCTTTTGGCTATTTTTGCTTCCTTTTCTGTGCTCTCTCTCCACATCTCCTTGACTTGCTCGGGACTGTATGTCTTCCGTCCATAGTTTGACATACGATAGCCTTCTCCTGGGTATGCCATGATGGAGAGAGATGAGGTGCAAGGTTAACTTGGGTGGAGCTGCCTTGTGCAGCAGCAGCACAACCGGAAGTATACGGAGACAAAGTGAAGTTACCGCCTATTACTTCCGGGTTAACAGGAAGTAGTCACGTGGAATCCCGTGAGGCGAAATTCCTGTGGCTGTCTTGGAATGGACACCTTCTTCCTGTTCATTAGATAATGCGTCATTAGTACCTCTTTCCTTTTACGCTCTCCAGCTCCTTTCTTGTAGAGAAAAGGTTTTGATACTGGTTGCCTAGCTACTTGATATCCCCCTCTTTTTGTTCCTCGGAATTTTCAGGCCCAGACCGCAAGGAAAGAAGGTCTCAACCCTGACCATACTAGACCATATGCGGATAGATTTATTATAAACCAAACTCCCACTCCACCTTCCAAGCCTATCTATACACAGTGAGTTGTGCACATTGTGTTGCCTGTTTGTTTGTGCGCCTGTTTATTTATATCAATCTCTTCAACAGAAAATAACGAAATATCATAAAAAGCCATGGCTGAGAGTGTGACGGATGGAGGAGGTTTTGTCGACAGTTTTGTTGGCTCTCCTTCTCCCTCGAGGGACGAGTCTCCTTCAAAAACCCTCCCAGCTGAAGCAGACACAGCTAAGAAACGTTTTTCTGACGATTTCTCTTCAAGCCTAGAGGCAATCACAACTGCCCAGAATGGGGCCATCCCCTCTGAGAGGACCGAGCCCTGGGAAAACTTTGACATTGTTCCTGATCGTTCCGACACACCCGCCAACTCTGACGATGAACATGATGATGATGATGATGACGAAGAAGATGAGTCGACGAAAGTAAAGAGCGAGAGCAAAGAGAACAATCCTGTTGTTGAGAAACTCAAGAAACCCACACGCAAGTGGGAAAGCTTTGACGATGATGCAATCATCGTCAAGAAGAAAGGCGGGGCAGGTCTTAACGAAACAACGAATCGTCTCATCAAGAGCACTGAAGACCTGGACGCAGCATCAGATCCTCAATGTGCAGTCGATCGGGAGACGAACCAATCAGAATGGACCGCACTTCATGACACGTTCAAAGAGACTGATGCCCCGTTTGTTGAAGATGAGGAGTCTCTTCCTTTCAGACGGACACAGAGCATGAGGGCAGATACCCATAGAGCTGTGAGGATAGTGGACGCCTTGCGACAACAAAGGCGACTTAGTAACACGAGTCTTGACATTGACAAGAAGGGAGCCTTCTCAAACGAGGATGACCTCACACGGAAATTAAAACTAGACAAAGAGTGGGATGTCCATCTTAAGTTGAATAAGCGGATCCCGGGGACCAAAACAAAATGGCTGCCTGTTCGTGTCTCTGTCAAGAAAGGCGTGCTCTCGATAAAGAAGGGAGCAATGCTTTCTCCGGGTCGTAAGAGTAGCATCAGTCCTGCTGTAGTTGAGGACGTCATTCTACAGCACAATCATAAAATGACTGATCCCGTCCCACGCTCCTATGACAAGAACACCAAACTCCATCAGATTAAACTCCAGCAGAGCATTGTCCAAGAGAAACGATCGGTCAAGCGTCTATTTCTAATGGAACACGTGACTCGGTTCAAAACCCTCTACAAGATCGGCTCACATGATCTGAGCGTCATTCAAAGTATTCTTGAAGCTGTCAATGAAGCCGTTCGCCAGTTGCCAGTCACCAGAGCCAGGGGTGTGGCTTACAGAGTAAACGAGGTTTTCGTCGACGTCAAGGAGTCCTCGGATATATTGATGAACTGTGATGGAGCGGTCCTGGACAGAAAGTCCCTCATTAGGATGTATATACAAGCCTTCCTTAGCGGAGCCCCCGACTGCAAACTAGTACTCAATAACATAGAGGCCACTCTCCTTCAAGGAAAGAGTGTCCTCACTCAGGGCATGACAAGACAGGTCAGACTCCAAGACCTAGTCCTCCATCCTTGTGTCAACAAAGACTTGTATGGGTCTTCGCGTCAGATCAAGTTCCAACCTGTTGATGGATCGACTTTTGAGCTGCTCCGCTGCTCGATTGACCCGTACATATCTCCTCCTATTAACGTCTCCTGTCTGATGGAGTATCATCAGACACAGCATAACGTCAAGATATCGTCCTCTTTCATCGTTCGCAAGAAACACAACCTACGCCAACGACCAATAACTAATCTCGTCATTCGTTTCCCCATACCGACCTCCTGGAGCTCTCTATTTCTCACAGAGGGCAAGTTTGGTCAGCAACAAACAATCGGATCGACTGCTAGTCTTCGTGGGAGCTTCCGCCGTAAGATAAAGACAAGAGAGTGTAGGATTGAGACTCATCTCGGGAGCGCCCGCTACGAGGCAGAGCACCAAGCTATAATGTGGCGTATTGGGACCTATTCCACTACATCACAACCTCACACTTTCTCTTGTGATATAATGCTCAAGCCTGGGATGCAGAAACCAGACATGGTCAATGAGAAAGCTGAGGTAACGTACACTGTTCCTGGGACATCTACTGGTATTGCAGTCAAGAGCTTCGAAGTGGAAGGTGCATCTACACCAGAAACGTGGGTAAAGTATGAGATACAGTATCGGTATGAAGTACAGATGTTCCCTGATTTATCTATTGACTAGTAACAGTAAGTGAGGGAGAGAGAGAGAGTGGTAGTTTTTAAAGGTACTAGGGTTACATTGATTTCTTTTATGTGTGATTTATTTGAAAGTTGTACATGTACTTGGTTATTTTTAGAATGTTTTCATTTTCACTATTGTTAATTTGTTATTATTATTTATCATTCATAATCAGTTTTTCTGTTTACAGTTAACCGTTGTTTGTTTTTGTTTTGTGTGTGTTATGAGTCTCTTTTGAGTTCTTTTTTAATCAATTTTTGAGAATATTATTTAATAATAAAATATTATTTTAACATTAATTAAGATTGTTACATAGTGTAGAATGACTCGGTGTGTTTACATGTCTTAGTAGTCTTGTTCTATGATGTTAGCAGCTAATTATAGAATTGCTTAATTACAAATGTACAAATACAACTTGTAGTACTCTAGCTACAAGTGACAAGAATTGCTGAATTAGGTGTAGAGTGGTAGTACAATGTGTGGGAGGTGAGGTGGCTATGTATATCTACATTAATACACATATAAAGGAATGAGGATTGGCTAACTGTTACTCCAACAATAAGGTAGTGTGGTATATATGCACTCAGTTATTATCAGTTAGCTAGGTGAGGCTAGAATCAACAATCCTTGAAAAGCATTTATAAAGTCTCAGGCTATGTGCAATAATACTTATGAAACATAATGTAGTACATGTACATGTTATTGCAGTCCTACTACATGCATGGCTTGCATGTTACATTAATGTTGTGGCTACAGAACACAGCAAAGTGATCCAGTGTGTAATTGTTGAATGCCAAGATCATTCTATCTGGCTTACATGTACACTTTCAAAGTGATCCAAAGGCTATGTGTTATGTCAGTTGTTAATAGAGATCATGAATGATGTAATGTCTATCACATGTATACAGAGACAGTCATAATGATTCATGTTACAAGTGACCTTTACTTTCACCCCCCCAATGGCTCATTAATTTCATACAATTGTCATTTTAAACAGTTCAGTGAAGTCTGGGGCCTTGGATACAACGTGCTCGAACTCAGGATAAGAGAGTTTTTTATCTTGATCAATGTCCACCTCTTTCATTACATACTCCACCACTGTAGACATATCTTCATCAGTGAAACTGCTACCTATTAGAGGTGTCATACTGTTCATAATAGCTATTGTATAGTATATGCTAATGATTAATTACTTGTGATGCAGCTTAATATTTGTTCAATGTCAGATGAACTAAGAAAAGCGTCAGAGTCAAAATCAAATATCCTGAAGGCATAAGATGCTTTCAGTTCCCAAGGAGCATCTATATGCATATAGTATATGTAAGAGAGAGAGAGGAGAGAACTCTAGCACATTCTGCAACTCTCTCTCTCTCTCTCTCTCTCTTAATACTAACGTGCACTGAAAACGGAGCACATGTCAAGGAAGTCTTCGAATGATATTCCCCTGCCATTGGTTGAGAACACTGCACAGATTCTATCCTTGAAAGGATTCTCTTTTAATTCTGGGAGCTGCTGCATTTCAGAGAACGATAGCCTGTGACATGACATTGATAAGTATACAACTCAAGTATTAAGTTACTATGTTAAGTGATTTGAATGATACATTGCATTATGAATGAGGGCACCTTGCATCTACGTTTGCTTTTCTCGGGTTAATCTTCTTTGAATTGAGAGATGAGAATCGCTTGTAAAGCTTCTTAATTTGTTTCTCTGTGAAGTAAGTGCACTCCTGATAGGCATTGAGGCGATCTTGATCAAATAGACTTTTCCTATTACCCATTATACTACTGTGTGTTTCTGTTGCTTGCTATCTTAGCAACAAAATTTAATTAATTGTTATTTTATTTAACTATTTTAAATAGTTAATAAAACTCAACAACTGAATTGAAATTTTAACCCTCTCGTTTCCCGCTTTCTTTAAAAATTAAAAATGGACTCCTCGCCAATGATGGAAGAAGAAGCAATGGAGGTAGAGCAGCCGAGGAAGGACATATTCTCCTCAGCTCACAAAGAGTCGGTGACTGAAGCAGTGATACAGACCCTCCGTAAGAATGGAGTGGATACTGCGAGCCTTTCCCAGCAGGGAAGAGGAGGAGGAGGAGCTATTGGAGGGAATGGAAATGGGAAGATATTTGGTTTGTCTTTAGAAGATGGTCGACAAGAAAGAAGAGTGACCGAGACTAATGGCAGTCCTTGTTATTTACCAAAGTGAGTGGGTGTACGCCACTAATTGATTCTGTCATCTCGGGTTCCTTATGTACAATAGGTTTTTTGTGACGTCAATCGAGTTTTTGAGGAATCATGTTAAAACTGAAGGCTTGTTTCGTAAAGCTGGATCATGTGTCAGACAAAAACAATTAAGAGTAAGAAATTATCCACAAGCACATAATCTGTTTCTGTTTATTTTACAAAGTCACACATCTAACGTTTATGTGTACATGTACATCAAGTTACGTGTGTTATGTGTCATGATGGTATGACGTACTGTCCCCTATTATTACCAGTATTTAGGCTATTATTATTATTATTATTATTCACACACAGTTATTTCTAGAAGAAGGAAATGCTGATATACCTGGTAATGCCGATCCTCATGATGTGGCATCACTCTTGAAACAATATCTTAGAGAATTGCCAGTCCCTTTACTTACACACAGGTAAATATAACAAGCAATACATGTACATGTACATATATTGTAAAAAAGATATTAGTAATTGTTGGGAGTGGGACATATCTACATGTACATGTATGTATAAAAGATGTGTGTGTGTGTGTATACATATACAGTGTATATGTATATTTTGTTATCTTGTTGTTGTTGTTAAACTTCTTTTTTAGCTATCTATTACACACACACACAGTGATTTCCTTTCTCTTAAATTACCTTTCTCCTGTTCTATCCCTATCTCTCCTCTCCTCTCTCTCTCTCTCTCTCTCTCTCTCTCTCTCTCTCTCTCTCTCTCTCTCTCTCTCTCTCTCTTTCTCTCTCCTCTCTCTTGATAGCCTATCATTAGTACTGCTAGAGTGTAACGAGTTGCTAAGTGATGAAAAAGAGCAAGACAGTCACTCAATCAGTAAAACTGAAGCTATATTAATGTCCTGCTTGTTACTGCCTACACAACACCTACTCTGCCTACAGGTAGCAATGGAACAGAACTCACTGTAGCAATTACACAATAGAATTTTCATAAAATATTCTTTCTTTTCAATTTGTCCATTGTCCATTCTTTTTTAGATCCTAACAAATCTCCTTCATGATGTTGCTGTACATTCTAATGATAGTCGTATGGACAGCAACAGTCTAGCTGTTGTATTAACTCCAAACATATTCTCATTACAAGAAACCAAGAAAGGAAAGAAAAATACAAAAGGAGGTGGGGGAGTAGGGCCTGGTGACATTAAGAGCATGACAAGTAAAGTTTATGGAAACACTTAACACACATTTTAATACCGAGAGTCCAAGAGTAATACCTGTTATTACCAATAGTGGATTTTGAAAGAATATGTGTACTGTACATTCATGCTTTTAATGTATTAAGATTATTTATTATTAATGTCATTATTAGGTATAACCACTGTTCTTATTGATCAGTATCATTTAATTGGTCAAGTACCGTTGGTCATTGATGTCCTCTCTAACGAGATACACACTCAGTCATTGAAGAACCAATACAGTACAGGAGGAGCCTCTAGGGGCAAGAATAAGCAGAGGAAGAAGAGCCTCTCAACTCGTGAAACAGTCTCGAGTTTATTACGAGGAACATTGAATAAAATAAGAGGAGGAGGAGGAGAGAATAAAGAAGGTACATGTACTTATAATTTAATACACTTGTCTTTTATACCTAAAAAGATACATGTATAGAGGAATTAGGAAACTTGCATGTACGTATACATGTAGTTTGTAAAATGAAGGCTGAGTGCTGCCTTTCTTGAACAGGTCTTCATAATAATAAGCATTTTGCCATATCTGTATTATTTGGCTCCTTCAATAATGTTATGTGTATCATTGAGCCAACAACAATTTTAAGTTATGAAATTAGGGCCAGCCAAATATCCACTATGTGAAGAATGTGTATACACATGTACATATGTACATGTACATGCAATATACATGTAAGTATACATTACAGTACATGTACTTTCATTTACACTGCATGTTAACTTCTCATTGTTACTCAGATCAGTTTAAAGTCTGTAACATTATATGTACATTATTATTACATGTATGCCCACACATACACTCTCTCACACACACAAACTATTAAACATTTCAATAATGGTTTAGGCTTACATATAGAATGACATTGAATGAGTGTATGTACATGTACACCTACATGTACATGTATATACATGTACATGTACATGTATTGCTGTCAGTTGATCTATTTGAACTTTCAGATTCCCATGTTTGTTAGATATAGAGTCTTGATTTATTATTTAAAGTATTCGATTATTATTATTATTATTTTATTAAAATATATAAACTCCAATGGCAATGTGTATATAATGAGCATTTATTTGTTTATAGAGGGCGTTTATTCTCCCAGTACTTCCATTGATGATTCTCCTGATGCCTTGGGACCAACTGCTTCCAAAAGAATGGCACTTGATGATTCCTCTGACATTAGCGGTCACAATGAGAGTGGAAATAGTTCGTCATCTTCTTTTTCATTCAATCCTAACATAAGGAAGAAACTCTTCAATAAAGGAACCAGGTCGAAGAAAAAATATCCATTCCTTCGTAAAGCAAAGAAAAACGTTGAAAACGGTTAGTGTATTAATGAAACATGTACATGTATGATAAATTGTACCCTAATATTGTACATTTGTACATGTACACAAATGTACATGTTTGTCGGTAATGTGATTAGAAATATTTTGGTTGGCAATCTCATACATGTAGTCTGAATTTTCCAATACCGGTAGTGATTTCTTTATTATTATTATTTATTATTATTATTTGTTTTTAATACAGTTCCATTACTGTCAAATGATAATACAGAAGGTACACAACAAAAAGAACAAGAACAACAAGAGGAGGAGGAGGTGGAGCCAGTATCAAGCAATGACGATAGGCCACCAAGTGCTCTTCCTTCACCATTACTAAACTCAACCACTAACCTTGACTTATTAACAATATCCCCACTCACCACCTCTATTGCTTCTCGTCTAAATAATAATATTCAACTCCACACTCCAGTAGGCCATGGAGCATCTCCCTCTGCTAGTCCTCATGTAGTGTCTGCCACTGATGCTGTCATGGAGAGTCCTTTATCAAGTAATTACAAGTTAGTCTCAAGAACCCGGAGGACATATTGCAGGAACCCCGCCCCAGCTGTTGTCAGAGCATGCCCGAGTCCTTACTCGTTCCAGCCTCCTGTGGAGAGAGTTCCCACTGGGTCTCAACCGGTTAAACTGGTCAGACCTGTTTTGACTGATCACAACTCCCGAAAGAGGAGACAAGTCCAGTTTGGCCAGTCAGGGTATCATTGTGGCGGGTTTGAGTTGCTGCCTAAGCCGTTCACATTCAGTCCAGTGGGCAGTGGCACTGCTACTAGTGGTAGGCTGGGATCATCATCAGTATCTAATCGTGCACAGTTAGCTTCATCCACTCCATTGGAGAGGAAGCATAAGAAGGAGACAGTAAGAGGGAGACCTGAGGATGATTACATGATTAAAGGTTTACCTATTGATCCTTTATGTTTAAAATGCACATACATCTACACGTAGAGTTTGTTCTCTGTTACACTCTTACTTGATGTACATGTACATGTATGTATCTTCATTGATTGATAGTGTGTATTAGGGGATAGCATAATGCATTTACCACACAGCAGATTGTGTTGTCATTTAGTTTTTTATCAAAATCATATTAAAGGTATTCACTAATGATATAACATGATATTGTGGTGACACCTGCTGTTAGTATCATTCCTTAAGAGTTGATACTGGCGTAACTGGATAGTCTTGCTTTCTTTGCTTTATTTGAATGAGATACTTCCCTATATTGGCTATATGTACACAACACTCTATCTATTTGTGTGTGTCTTGATATCGTTTGAACATTGATAGTCTGAGTTTTATGATAATAAATTAATAATATTTCTATCTCACTCTAATTGACTAATTCTCTTTCTCTGTTTTCCCCTTCTTATTTCTCTATTCTTCCTCTCTCTCTCCTCTCCTCTCTCTTTCCACAGGAACCAGCAGTACTTCTGAGACTGTGACTAATAATGATAGTTATCTTTGTGCTGTGGAGAATGGAAGAGACAGGGAGACTCCTCTGAGAAGGAAACTATACGAAAGCTCAAACATTAATTCTTCAACAACAAGAGGAGTAAAGACTGGGAGTAATGGCAGTGGTAGCATTGGTAGGAGAGCTAATTCAATGAAAGTGACTCCAACAAGTGATGCTACCCCAAGTACTGAAAATGACAGGAATATTAGCAAGTAAATTATCATACGTTTATGTGGAATAAAATTTAGTTATTTACAGTATAGTCAAACATGTAATATGTATTAGTAATGCAAGGTGGTGATATCAATAGGATAATACTTTTACACTAATACTCTTTTTATAATTATTTTTCTGAGCATAATCTATGTTGTGTAGAAAGTTTGAGCAGATTTTGATTAAATTTGGATTTTTATGAATTTTTAATGTTGCTCAAAAATTGGCCCAAAGTCCCCAAATTTTGTCAAAATTGTTTTGAGAGAGTTTTCTATTTTATATATATTTTTCTAATGCGTATACATGTTTTTATGTTATGTAGAAAGTTTGAGCAGATTCCGATTAAATTTTGATTTTTTAATAAATTTTTTAAGTTGCTCATAAAATTGGGTAAAAGTTTATACAGGGTCAGGGTCACTGACCAAATTTTTTCAAAAAATGACTAGGAAAAAATTTTACATTTAAATCTTTTATGATGCGCATACATTATTTTATGTTAAATTTTAAAGGAATTTTCAATGATCATCAACATTGTCAATGCATAATTTAATAGTACATTATGGTATATTAATTGTAATTGCTCTAATTTTACATATCTAATCAGTGTACCAGTGTTAGTATTTCTGATGCTTGTTTTTTGTGACATGTGAAAAAAATATATTTAAACCCGGCATATTGATGTACATGTACTTGTGACATGTATTTAAATTAATGTTATATTTTCTCTAGAAAAGGAAGGAGGCATGTTGTTAAAAGTCAGTCGATGAGCAGTCGTGGTATCAATACTGCCAGATCACCTTGGATTAACAGGAAAGGCATTGAAGTATCAGAATGGATTATATAACTTATGTGTGTATGTGTGTATCTCTCTCTCTCTCTAGTTGCATTTATTTTGATAAATAATGTTAATAAACATGGTATAGATGTATTATGTTGTCTTGATCCATAAAACACAAAAGTATTACAGTGAATTTTCTCTCTCAGAAAGCTTAGCCCGGTTGGTTCTCTTCTCCCAGTATTAATGTCACAAACTCATGATAGTTAATTGTTTTCTTTTCAGGATCGACTGATGCTTGCAACATCTCTTCAATCTCTTCCTATACATGACAGAGAGAATAATGATAACATTTTTAAAAAGAATGTCTATTAACTTGTTGAAATGCTTCTCCTTCAGTTGTCATGTACTCCTTGAGTTGTTCTGGTGTCAAGTATGACTTCTTGTCCTTATCCAGCACCTATTAATTAGACTATAGTAAAATATATTATTTTAAAAGACTGTGTTCTGTATGTGCAGGTGTATTTTTATTTTTTACTTTGAATGCTTTGAGAAGTTGTTCCTCAGAGACTGGCTTGTATCTACCTTCTATCAAGACTCTTGCCATCATTGGCTGGAACTTGTCATAGAGTATGAAACCAGTTGGTTCTTCTTCCTCTATCTCCTGCAGCAAGGAAACCATGCATCAGTGTGTATATATAACAAGGGTCTTCATCACATCATGAGCATAAATTAATGGTATATAATTATACATTTTTTTGCTTACTTGTATCATATCGTTGAGTTCAGATTGTGTTGGATAGCAGCCTAATGATCGAATGACTGTACCAACCTCCCTAACATCAACAGTCTTGTTTTGTTCATGATCAAATATATCAAATGCTTCCTCGATCCTACATGAACAAGTTTAATGAATTAATGTGCACTGTGCAGGTCAAATAAGCAGTGAATAGCGATATCTTTATGTAGGTCTACTTTATTATTTTTATATTATTATTAGAACCTTTGATTTATTTCCAGAATGACTGGATCAGCTTCTTTTTTCTGTACTTCTGGAACACTTGGAGCTTGCTCAAGGTCGGCCATATTGGATGTTTGGTTGCTATGCAAAAATGGGCGGGGCTCAAGGTTAAGAGTGCGCATGCGCAGTAAAATCACGTTTTTTACAGCCACAGAGCAAAGGCAGTTCTCATCTTCTTCCACTTTTATTTCACATCTTTACAATGTCTGAAGACGTCGAGCAATATGTCCAGAAGCTCAAGGTAACAGAGCTACGTGAGGAGCTCAAGAAACGAGGCCTTGGGCTGGGCGGGGTAAAGGCTGTGCTGGCCCAAAGGCTACAAGAAGCAATGGAGGCTGAAGGAGAGACTGGTAATCACAAGGAACCTGAAGAACCTGCTGATGAAGAAGGTACAGCTTACCTTTTGTATCACTTTGTACATTTTATTTCTCTTTAGGTGATTCAGAAGTTGATATTGACAGAGATGCCAATGAGCCTGCTGTTCCTCAAAGTGACGAAGTACGTTATTATAATATGATGCTCCGCCCAATTTAATGAGTACTTTGTGTAATTGTGTGGTAACGGTTGGTTGTATAAAAAGGCGTACTGTATACGTACATGTATTGATTGAATTCAATGCCATGTAAGTTGATGGTCCCATTAGATTATTTTAGAGTGTTGAGTTGTGTACTTGTACACGAGTGACTTGTAAATGAGTTTGTATACATTAGCTATTATTCTTGTATGTGTAGGCTCCTGTTAATGATACCCCTGACCAAGAAGAAGAAGAAGAAGAAAAAACTGAGGATGATGAAGCAGATGTGAAAGAAGAAGACGAAGAAGGAGGAGGTGGGAATGACGGTGAAGAAGAAGAAGAAGCTGTTGCTAATGATCAAGATGATGATATAAAGCAAGAGGAATCCGAAGAAGAATCACAAGCGACAAACGATGACGAACTAGTTACTGTGGAACCTCAAGAAAGTATCAAAGAAGAAACAAAAACTGAAGAGCCAATGGAAGAACCAACAGTAGATGAAGAACCTCCTCCAGCCGAAGAACCTGTTACATTACAAGAAGCTAAAGAAGAGGAACCAGAAGTGAAACCATTAGCAGACGTACCTGATGGAGTAACATTTGTTGATGATTCTTCAGCTCAACCAAAGGAAGAGGAATCAATGGAGTGCAGTGGAGGGGCATCAACACAAGATGGCGAGGAAGCAAAGAGTGAAGCAATGGCAGCAGAGTCTGGAATGGAAGGGAACAATGAAGAGAAACCTAATCAAGATGTGGACATGAAAGGATCAGGTAAGTTTAACTTAGATATGATTTTAAATTGATTTATATATGACATGTATGCATTGCATATGGGTAGTGATGAAAATCTTTACATTGATATTTTATGATTTTTAATCCTCTAAGAAGTCCTGAACCTATATGTATCATTATGACTTTATGTGTCCCTGAAGCAATGCTGATTGTGTATAGTAGTAGTATGTACTCTGTAATATGCTTTTTTATAACTTTTAGAAGACAGAGGATTAAAGAGAATAAGAGAGGAGTCTGAGGGCTTGGATGGAGATAGCAAGAAAGAAGAGACAAAGGTTGATCCACAAACTGTGCCTGATCCAGAATCAGTTGCTGATTGGAGTGACGAGTCAATAAAAGAGATATGTAGTAGTCTCTTTCTGCTACCTGAAGATACTACTGCTAGTGTCACATTGAATCCTAGTAAGTATAGTACATGGTTGTACACTACATGGTTACACGTAATTGTTAGTGACTATAATGTCTTCCATTATTTTACTAGCTTTATAGTTCAGCTACATGGCTACATATTTTCTTTTCTTTTTAGGAAAGTCTGATCTTCACTTTATCATATCGTCTGATGGTCTAGGAGGTGCTCCACTAACTGAAGGAGGCTTTGCTTATTTGAGGGCAAGCTCTAAAGCAACTTGGGGCGTCAAATCAGGATCTTATTACTTTGAATGCAAAGTATGTAACCGGCCTGGTACATGTACAGGACTGTCAGTATTATTTGTCATTTTAGAAGTGCATGTACTGTATTTCATATACATATACTTTGTGGCATATGCATGTATAGTGTACGCAATGTACATTGTCATTTAAGCATTGTGACATGTCCATTTTGTTTATTTGTTTGTTTTTAGATTGAGGAGAAACTGCCTGTTGATATTGAGGAAGAAGATGAGAATGGAGGAGGAGAGGGCGAGATAGTACGAAAGACTGAGCCGTCACACAATGTAAGGGTCGGCTGGTCGTCCCTGGACAGCGACACGATTGCTGGAGATGATAAAAACTCATTTGCTTACGATAGCTCGGGGAAGAAGGTAACACGCTCCAACTCTGAAGACTATGGAGAGACTTTTGATGAAGGAGATGTCATTGGATGCTATGTGGTGAGTATTAGATTGATTACTAGTAATGGCTACATTAGTTCTAAGAACAGAATTAGAGTCTATTAGACAGTTACATTAAAATTACTATAATTGCTACTTCTGTGCTGTTACAATAATGTAAAGTAGTTAAATGTAGCTAAATGCCTATTGATTAATGTGGTTTCCCCCTTTGATGACTATTTTTATTTCTAGAAACTGACTGATGATTCTAGGACCATCCTATTCACAAAGAATGGAGTCAGTCAGACTGAAGCATTCAATTTATTGGAATTAAACTCAGAGTCGATTCTCTTCCCTCACGTGTCTACCAGGAATTATCGTGTCTCCTTTAACTTTGGAGGAAACCCTGAGCCTTACTATCCTCCTCCTGATGAGACCTACCGTCCATTACAAGAGGCAGGAGAGGAAGAGAGAGAGTGTGTACCCAACAAGCCGTTGTCTAAGAACGAGTGTGAAGTCATCATGATGGTTGGTCTGCCAGGCTGCGGGAAGACACACTGGGCCTCAAGACATGCCTCAAAGAATTTTGATAAGGCTTTTAGGATAATTGGCCCCTATCAGCTATTGGAGAGAATGCTGGTTAGCTAATTGCTATTGTACTTGTATTGATTAATGTTAAAGCTCAAAGCCTTAATTAACCTTGATGGTCTATTCTTTTATTTTTTAGTCAAAGAAGAGAAGATCAATGACTAATTGGAATGAGTTTGTTTTATTGACTGCTCCAATGGTGAACACATTGTGCTTATTGGCATCGAACATGCCTGGAAATTATATTATTGATCAGGCAAGCATACCGTATAGCGGGAAATTTTGGAGGGAATTAAATTTGGCGAATTTGGCGTTTTGATAGCCATTCGCCAAAATTAAACCCGCCATTTTGAGCCATTATACGCATGCTCAATGCACGTGGCCACCAATTCGCCAAATTAAAATCCGCCAATCACCAAAATTTAGCAATTCGCCAAATTTTAGTCCCTCCAAAATTTTCCGCTATACGGTACTTGTACACAACCTTCAATGTACAGTATTTACATGTACATGTATCTTTTTTTCATGCATTATTCAACTGTCTTCATTTCTCTCCAGATTAATGTGTATGCTGACTCACAAAAGACCAAAATGAGTTACTTTGAAGGGTTTTCCCGCAAAGCGTTGGTAGTGATACCACCTCATCACGAGCTGAGGAAGAGGAGGGTTGACAGGATAAGGGAAGGATGCTGCATGGAAGTACCTCAAAATGTCATTGATGCATTCAAAGGTACGTACAAGTATTATTTTAAAAGCATAACGTCTTGGATTTGGCATTGGGCATACGTGTGCCTTGTAAGATTTGATTCTGTGCAACATATGGTGCCTGCATGTTGTCTTCAATGTGCATTGAATTAGAATGGCAGGTTATTCTTTATGAAACCAAATCTTAGTAGTTTCAAGTACGCGTCATTTATTTTTGCTTGAAAGGTATAGCCACAGAACTTTGCCCTTACTCATCAGTGAGATTTATCAGTGCTGGCGTTATTTGTTTCTGTTAAGATGTACTGGAATTACTCACATCTAGCATATTCTATCTGTTATTCGCAAAGATCATTGTTCATGAGAAATGTTATTTATTATTTATTCTAATGTGCAATTAATGAAATTGTGTGTTCTCTTCAAGGTTGGATCTTACCCTCTTCTCTACTAGTTTGATTGAGCTACAGTTTAAGGTAAGGCAGCAGTGACTACTGTCTGGACTCAGCTAACTGCCACTTCCTTCGATAGTCGAATATGTACATGTACAAGTGTTGAAAAGCATATTAGAGAGGATATGATCGAATGGCTTTTATAAAAACAGCTTTATTTTATAAGTATATACAGTCTATAGTATACAGCATTATACTGTACTTAGCATATTAATAAATGAAATAACAGAATTTGCAACCCATTGGTTCTCTGCTGATCATCATTTTGTTACTAGGTAAGTCATTAATGTATGTTTTGTTATCACTTCAGTTCATCTAATGGCTACTGGATACAAAGGAAAGAAGTATTATGTGTTGAAATTTTTGAAAATAGGGAAGATATCTGTACAGCTATATAGTATACGAAAAGATAGTTTCCACATAGTTCCCCAACAGCTTTAAAACCTGGTAATAATGATGATGGAGTTGCATGTAGACTAGAGATCTTAAGATTATATCCATTTAACAGCCACAGCAATACAGAAACCAGTCTTAAGCAATAAGCATCTAAAGGCATATTTTACATGTATTAACCGTATAGCGATTTTTTGAGGATAATGAATTTCTCTTGAAAATCAGTTTCATACTGTAAAAGATGGCAGAAAAGTGGAAATTTGTGAAATTTAATTCTGTGAACCTCCAGATACAAGTCATTCACAAAAATTACATTCGTGAAATAAACCTGCTATACGGTACATTGCGGCCTCTACCTTTCAATGAAAAATTTTTATGAATGATCTTTTTTATTTTATGAAGCAAGTGAGCAACTTACTTTACTGAGAGAATTGAGAGATGTTTCAGATGTACAACTAGAAATGTTGCCTTCAGTTTGCAAACTCAACGACCTGTAAATATTACATGCACATGCTTAGATAAATTGACCTTTGCTTGATTCTTGTTGATGTTTTGTGCATCTAGAGTGTATTGTATGTATAGAGTTGAGAGTATAAAGGCTAGCTGCCATACACTATGAAACTTTATTTCATGAAGCAACTCTGTACAGGAGTCAATGGAGCTACAGACTCCATTGCTTCCTGTATAAAAGATGTTTCATGAAACAGCTTTAATGAGTGATTGAGAGGTCCTTAATTCTTCTCTGACTTGGAATTAAACAACACAACTGGAAACATGGAAATGGTGGTCATGTCATTCAGTCGTCCGTGTACTGTGCGGTATGGTATTAATTATATTTGCATTTATATAATTATTTTTTTGTTTGTTACTTCTTGTAAGAGCGATAACTGCATATATGCCTCATATTATTTGAATGTGCTGGTTACAGTTATTGTTGGGGCATTTTTACACACTGTATAGCACTTATTGAGTAGACTATAGACTAGCTGGTATAAGGCATCATTAGTTACTAGTGCTTCTCTTGAATTGCTATTGTCATGCAGTGTTAATATAATGTTAATCCAACTTTGCAGTCTTCTTTAGTGTTTGTAATTCCTTTCAGTGTTGCGATTAGTTTGTGTCCCATGAAATGTAAAATAAGTGCTATACAGCGTAAAGCAAGTGTAATATGATCATCAATGACCAGGGTTTCCCAGAAAACTTAGGCATAGTTCTCTAATTTTTAAGCTACTTACAATTAGGGCCAATGCCCTGTACTATAGTGCAGGGTCCTTCAGCCAAATTTTGTCAAAAATGGCTAAGGGAGAATTTTCCATATTTATAATTTTTTTCTGATGCATATACATATTTTTATGTTGTGTAGAAAGTTTGAGTGGATTCAGATTAAAATTGGATTTTTTATGAATTTTTAAAATTGCTCCAAAATTGGCTTAAGGTCCCTGTACTATAGTACAGTGCCTTTCGCCAAATTTCGCCAAAAACGGCTAAGAAAGAAATCTCCATTTTAATAATTTTTTCTGATACATATAGACATTCTTATGTTATGTAGCAAGTTTAAGTTGATTCCGACCAAAATTATTTTTTTAATGAATTTTTAAAGTACTCAAAAAGCACTATAAGCTACAGTGCATTCTAGTGCTTGTCAGCTCATGAAGCATGCTGTTTAGATGAAATTAGCTTGCTTAGCATGCTTTATGGGAAACCCTGTCAATGACTCTCATCAATTTAGCCTCTGATTGCACCTTTGCGTTGATATGAAATAATTGATGCATAATTTTTTTGTATTGGAGACAATTACTTTTTCTCTTTTTTTCTACACAATAGCCAATTTCCATATACCAAGAGAGGATGACGGCGTCTTTGATGAGATTAATTTCTCTGAGATATATGGGCCAGCCTCTGATAAGATAGTACGTCAGTACAAGGACGATGCCCTGGGTCTACCCACTCCTTATATACCATCAAAGAGACCACGCTATGAGTCAAAGGGAAGGAGCTATAGCTCACCTCGTCCTAAGCCAAGTCCTTATGGGTATGGAGCCTATGGATCTTCATCGTAAGTAATATTAGTTATTGCTGATGTTTCTGGAAACCCAAATACATCAGAACATGCCTCTTGTTTCCAGTGCTTGAAATCACAGCATCTACCAAGTACCAACCTTATATGTAAATGAATCTCTGCTATACAGTGCTCTCACTACACTACACAGTGTTATTAATTCTATTATATTTTGTTCTTTTTCTAGTCGTTATTATCCACCTCCCAATCGTGGTTATTATGCTCCTCCTCCCCCACCTCATTATCGTAGTTATTATGCTCCTCCTCCTCCTCCTCCTGGTGCTGGTGGGTGGGGCCACATGAGAGGGCGTTACGGTCACCCCCCACCACCGCCTCCTCCTAACCCTCGCTATGGGGCACCACGCCCGTACTACAGTAACAGAGGCAGTGGTGGGTATTATAATCGCTATTGAAAACCAACCAACTAACTCTCTTCCCCTATCTTTTCTTTATTTTGTTATAATTGTGCACATTTTTGAACTTTACATATTGTTATGATGCATGCATACATACACCATCATACCTTGGCTTTCTTTGTTTTAGATAAGATAGTTAATTCATTGTGTCTCCAAACAACAGTAAACCATTTATGGTTGGACTCATTACATTTATTTCAAGATCTATAAGTTTAGACACAGATCTATTGTTTATAGACTAATCCTCAAATTTGCATAATCTAATATGCATATTATATATTGTGCAGTGGATTCTGATTGGAACTTGATTTTTTTATAAATTTTTGAAGTTCTTCAAAAATTGAACCTGTACTATATAGTACAGGGTTTTCATTAAAAATGGCTAAAAGAATTTTCTATTATATTCTTTGTAGTCTCGGGGCAAGCCCCTTCCTAATTTTTTTGATACATATCCTTATGTTATGTAGAAATTTTGAACAAATTTTGATTAAAATTGAATTTTTAAATTTGCTCCAAAAGTTGTATGGATGCCATTACAAGGATGATACACTTAGCAAGTTAGCATGCTTTGTAGGAAGTGAGAAACCCTGTGTCAAGCATTAAGAATTTACTATTGAATATTGACATGATCTCGCCCCACCCAGGTAGCGAAGGGGCGGGGCGAGTATGTACAACAAAGTGAAATACATTGACCTAATCATGGTTGGAGTATAGAATGGTGTGATCTATCCAAAATTGGAATGACAGAAGTGAATTTATGAGTCTAACCCTATACTATAATCATAGTGCAGTATCAACAATAATGCAGAACATGATTATTATTATTGAGTCAAGCAACTAACAACTCCTAGATCTAGATTATAGATTATATATATCTACATGCAGCCCCACCCAAACTAGACTACCTAGGACGCTATGAAAATTGCTCTCTTTCTTTTGTTATTTTCTTGTAAGTTGCCATATATATTTTGCTAATAATTACACTGACACTTGCTACTAACTAAGCTTAATGATTTTTAAAAATCCTCCTTTAGCTCAGTTGCAACATTGGCAATATATATATAGTTGATGTGTCCTAATCTAGATTTATTTTATATAGTTTTGCTTCAAAATGCTTCAGCTGCTTATGGCACTGAATTTTATGTTGGAGCCATGAGAAACCTTGATGGAGTCACTCATGAACTTAATTTGTATATCACAACTCCCTCTGTCTCTTCAGTTTATTTTTCAGTTCAAACCACCAATGGAATTTTTGGTAGCTACAGTGTCAATAGCAGTGTCCCTGTTGATATTAGTTTACCAACAACACTTGTGACTAATGATGGCCTTTATTCCAGTCGCTTCAAAGGAATTTATATTAACTCAACAAATGGAGGGTTAATCTCTGTACTAGTGGTTAATATTAAACTAGCTGGCTCTTATGGAGAGCATATGGCCTACCCATATCAGAACTTGGACCTTTCAGAATATCAATATTATGCTGTATCTACTGGGACTCTTGCAACTAGTGTTAATGCTTTGGGTGAAGTTTTGTTAGTTGGAAATGAAGATAACACAACTGTCACTGTCATTCCTACTCAAGCTGTTTCAGTTCCTATTGATATTCAGACAAATAGTAACAGTAAAACAGTGACTGCTGGCTCATCATTCAATTTTACCATTCACAGAATGCAAACATTTCTCATTGGTGCCCCATTACTTGACATCAGTGGAACCAGTATTGTATCTAATAAGCCTCTTACAGTAATCAGTGGTCATGAGTGTGGCAACATTCCTCTTGTTTGTTGCTGTGAACAAATCGCTGAGCAGATTCCTCCTACAGCAACATGGGGCAGAGAATTCCTTTTGACTCCTTATGCAACACGATCTGTTGGTCCTTACTTTAAAGTTGTAGCAGCTTTAGGAGACACTTCTTTAAATTTCACTTGTTCTGCTAGTGGAGGCAATAACTTTTATTTACCAGATGCAGGAAACGTCACTACTTTATATTCTAGTTCCAGTTACTGCTCCATTATTTCTAATAAACCAGTTCTGGTGACACAGTTAGGATCAAGTCAATGGTCTGGCAGTGGTAATGGTGATCCAGTTATATCACTTATTCCCCCAATAGAACAACATCAACGGAACATAACATTGGTCATTCCTGCATTATCAGAAATTACAAACAACTATATTAACATTGCCACAACTATAAAAGGTTCATTGTACATCAATGGCCAATTACGATCAGTAACTTGGAACAATATATATAACAGTATGAGCAGTATTATTGGGTATGGAACACAAATTCCATTCAACACAATCTCCACCTCATCTTCTTATACTATTTCTATGCAGACAGGTTTCACTGCACTAGTATATGGCTTTGGCAGTTACTATGGTTATTCTTATAGTGCTGGAATAAATTTTACTGAAAATGGTATAAATGAAAATAAACCATTATTATGCATGTTATTACTCTTGATGTTATTTATTTATTAATTAGATCCTTGCTTGAGCAATAATGGTGGTTGTGACCAACTTTGCAATAGTACTTTTGGGAGTTATGCATGTAGTTGTCATCCTGGCTTTAGTTTGGATCTCAATGGATATAATTGTTCAGGTATAATGCATTATATTTATGGCCATAAATGGTTCAAATTGATGGGTTTAATTAATTTCATCAAAATAATGCCAAATTTGCCAAAATTTCTCACTCTAAAATTATCAGCTGTGTGGTATAACATAATTTAGCTAGTTTAGTAAAAATTTAAGCAATTGTGATTTATATTTTACATATGGTCTGTAGAATATGATTGTTCACATTTGTTCTATTAATTAATTATATAGATATAGATGAATGCACTGACTACAATGATTGTGAACATATTTGTGTTAATACTATTGGAAATTATTCTTGTTTGTGTCATAATGGATACAATTTGGATGCAAATAACAGAAACTGTTCAGGTTTGTTGTGATGTTATGATAGTGCTGCATGATCATTGCATTGTTAATGTAGAGCAATCTAATAAAAGAGTATTATAATATTATTTTTAGAACCTACAAGCTATGCTACAGAATTCAAAGTGGGATTTCTAAGGCAGTTTAGCTCAAGTAGTATTATGAAAATGTTGGTATACACTATGAGCCAAGAAACAGTTCAATTTACAATATCAAGTGCCTCCTCATATGGTTTCAGTTATACAGGAACAACTAACATCAGTTCACCAAATTTAGTAAGCATCCCATCCAATTTGCAAGTGAGAGAAACAACTTATGGTTATCGTAATGTTGGGCTTTATGTGAAGTCAGTTTCTGATTTACCTATTTCTATTGTTCTGATTGGCCATACCAATGCACCTCGCTCTACATATCTTGCACTGCCATGCACTGAGTACCATTTACAAGAAGAGTATGTTTATTATGGAATTTCAGCAGAATCAGATCAAAGCAGTAGGTATGGGCAAATTCTTCTAGTGGGTTGTATGAACAATACTGTTGTAACAATCACACCTACTCAAAATGTGCTGCTTCCTCAAGACCCTCAACAACTTAACAGTCCTTTAATTAATATTACAGCAGGGT